CTCTCTTCCACTTAGTTGTCAAAACCTTAAGTCTTCTGTCTGTTTTCCAATTTAAACAGTGGATTGAATAAAGAATATTCAGAGACTTTTCTACTATAAAGTAGAAGCAAAAAACTGTATTTGCTAATATGATCTTAATACAGGCAAACAGTCCCTCATATTAACATGTTTCCCTCACTTTGTGTCTTCAGCCCGTCTACCTCACTTCTCTGGTGCCTTATGATTCGACGACAGAAGAAATTCAAGAGATGGGAGGAGGGGAGGAGAAGGAGGGAGACGCTGTCAAAGAGCAGGAAGAAGGAGAGACAGAAGGACTGGATGCTGAATCTGAAGAAGGAAATGAGAATGAAAACGGAAGAAGAGGCAAAAAGGATAAAAGTCCACCTCTACGGTTCCAGACATACAAAGAGGCTGTAAAGAAATATTACCTCCACCATACAGACAACGATATGGTGGGTAGATTCAAAGTGCTTCACACAGGCAACAAATAAAAAAGATACTATAATCTAAACTATATGTAAATAAAAGACACTATTACAACAATATTGCATTTTTAACCAGTTAAAAAGGCCGTTGAAAATTCATTTTACACTTTCCTAAGAGATCAAATCTGCAGAGAGAGAACATTAAAAAGGTGTTTTCAAATCAGTTGTCACAATCAATTCATAGTGAGTGGTTGCTGTCAAATTTAATATTTTATTTCAGTTTTAACTTTATTGTCCCCTTTGGGATATTTGTTTGTCTATAGACCACAATCACAGACTTTAACTCAAGATAAGTAAATCATATCATAGTGAAAGTAGTTTGGACTTTTTTTTACAATTAAAATTATATTTTTGTTATTACAGAGAGAAAGTAAAGTACCGAAAAAAGGCAGCATTAAGTACCAAATTTCACGTACCGGTATTGGGTTTAATACAAACGGTACCCAATCCTAAACAGCATAATATAATACCTTTAATACATCTGGCTATCATCATCCAACACAGTCATCAATTATCAACTCTATCAAATAAACTGATGATTGTATCAATTGTTTGATAATAATAAATTATTTCCATTTGGCAAACAGTGGAGAAAACAAGAAAATCTTAAAAGAAGATTTAGAATGTTTTTACTTGCAATGACTGATGACTGATTGATTTGTGATGATTAAGACTCACACATTATACTGTTCATGTAACATTATAATCATAATCATCTCCTCCGACTTCCAGCGGTCCTTTTCTGATAGCGAGAGGCGAGCTGTGTGGAAACGCATGAAAGACACAGAGTTGAAGACAAAGCTGAACTTCGATGAGATGCCACTGGCTGCACTACACAAGGTATCTACACACACAGACACACACATACGAGTGCAAGTATCATCAGACTCCTGCTGCAGCTCCACGTGAAGAAGGAGGGAAGCGATAGATAAACACTACAACGGAAAGAATGGAAACAGAGGTGAGAGATGGAAGAAGAGCTCTTCCTCCTCCCTCTTCTTTCTCCTCCTCTGATGGGCAGCTATAAAGACGGGCCGAATGTAATGATGTGTAAAATGAGAAAAATGTCACCCTCGGTGGAAGGAGGGAGGGGGAGATGGAAAGCAGCCATTTGAGGATTTGATGTGTTTAATTTTAAGAGAGGCAGAGTGGAGGGTGTCACGGTGCCCTCTGGGATAGGATGATGGACGGGCACTTTGTGGGACAATCTCAAAAACAAAACGCCACTAGGTCTTTGACTGGCTTTTTGCCTGAAGGGGATAAATGGATTAGAAAGAGGGACGAGACTGACTCGTGAAGAAAGAGGAAAAAAGAAGAGCCACGGCAGGAGGATTTATAGGGATGAAGAGAGGGATAGATGAGCGTTAGTAAAGAGAGGGAGGAAGGGGGGTGGTGATATTGACTCACTGAGAGCTAAAGCTGAGTCATTCATAGAAGAGGAAAGAGTGAACAAAAACTTAAATAAAAGAGTTATTGGTAATATTATACTCGAATAGAAGTAAAACTGGTCATCAAGACAAATACTTAAATAATAAAGAGTCTAGCGAGGTTGACAAGATTATGTGGAGTCCCTCAGGGATCAGCACTTGGTCCACTGGTATTCAGCCTGTTCACGTTGCCTCAATACGATGCAATCTGCAAACACATTACGCTGATGACACTGAGTTTTACCTGTCAGTGAGACATTCCAGATATTCAGTATTTCCTTTAGAATAAATGTTTTTGTCAAAGTGGATAAGACGTTAAAACTGCATTCCTTTGGGGCAAGGGTAACAAGCCTCCCACAGCTTTCAAAATGAACAGATTTTTTACATAAATCATTTTAAATGGCTGTCTCTGAGTAGAACTTATATTTAATTTTAATCATTTAGTTGTTTTGTGTTTAAGTTTCTACTGTAACAACTCCTCACTGTTTTTTCTTTCTCCACTCAAACTGTGAGAAACTTGACTGTTTTTAAAAGGTCTGCAGCTACAAGTACAGGCTGTATAGAGTTAGTCAGTTTTTGGGAATAGAATTGACTACTGTTGCAGATATAGTGAGCACAGATAAGAAACTTTTTTCAATTATCTTCCTCCTCTTCTCAGGTGCGTTTCAACCCCAACATGTGCTGCCACACCTGGGTGGTGTCCGCGGGCCACACAGGGCTGGTCAAGCTAAACTGTCTGAGGGGTATAATCACCTCCCAGTCCAAGAAGATTATCAGTGAGAACCAGGCCCAGTTCAACGCGCTATACTCACCAAAAGACCAGAAGGAGGCCGTCCAAACTGTGACAGATGAGCTATAGCAAGAGTTCAACTTCACTGCAGAATCAGAAGGTGGATCACACTGTCACGTTGGTGTACGACTGCAAAAAAAAATCACAAACCTGCAAAAAAGTATTTTTAAGAATGATAAAAAACTGTATTTATTTAATTAACACATACAGTACACTGTATACACTCTCTGTTTATCAGCTGGGTTTCAAGTGTCCAAAGGCCTGCAATGATATAAAAGAAATCAACCAATTCTCTTTTAGATTTGAATTTGAAAAACTAAATGATTTTCAGGTTTTGTGGCATATGTTTTTTTACTCCACCACCATGTCTCATAGACAGATTCTTTCCATCTTTTTCCACTTTTTTTCCACCCAATTATCAAAAGTGTCAGTGGTGACAGTTGATTTCCATCCAAGACGTTTGAGCAGTGCCTTGCTTAAAATGGGTCACATTAGCAGTTCCCACTTAAATGGTTATTGATTCCAAGTGAGTTAAGTAGGGTTTTTGGTTGCTCTGGTATCTCTTATTTGGCATACAAATTGCAAATGGCAAACATGGCAGTGAATCCATTGCTGACAACAGTCCAAAATAATGTAAATATAAATGATCAGCTGCATTTACTGTTATGAAATCAACTGCTCTCAGGAAAAGTAATTACATGCAGCTGTTTTAATTAATAATAACAATAAAAAATCATAGTTTTTCTTTATTATTTTAAATGGTCTAAGTTGTCTACAGTGATGTCGAAGTGTACTCCAGCGTGTGTCAGTACACCTTGACATCACCGTTGGGCGTGGTTACAGGTGCAACAGACTTGAACCTTGAAACCAGAAAGGTGTTTATTGTAATAAAAACAAACAAAAAAAAAACATAAAAAACATACATCTTATTTTTTCATTTCAATGTAACTAAAAGCAAACATTAGTCACTATTCTTCTATATGTGGCACTAGTTAGTGCGGAAATTCAAATAAAAGTGTTTCTGCTCACAAAATGGAAAATACAAAGAACCGAGTCGAATGTGAGAAACTGGATAAACCTAAAACCTTAAGGCTTTCTTGTATTTTACTTTAGCAAACTTTTGATTTTGTAATCAGAAAGACATTCCACTGCAGTTGTAGCGCCCTCTCACATCACCGTTGATGTTTTAAAACTGCGGACTGAGCTTTAAAACATGAACAGCGAGCTGGGAACCATTGAAGCGTACCTTTATGCTCATATTTGCTGCTGTATTTTTGTAATTGATCATTTTTCTCTTTTACCGTGTCAAGAGCAACTCAGGCTGTAACTGAGAGGAAATACTTGAAGTTTTTTTTATTGTAACTCTGCTGGATGTAATGTTTATAAATGACAAATTTTAGGTCTTTTTCATTGTTCCTTTCCTTACCTGCTGTTGTTACTCTGGTGATTCAAAGGTTTTATTACATCAGCTGCAATAATGTGACATGACTGAGTTTGTTTTTTCAGTGTCTACCAAGCAAATTGGAAAATGTTATTACTTACAGACACAGCTGTCTCCTTTTTAGAGGTTGTCTAAAGATGTTTTGCTCTAAGTTAAATTAGGGGGTTTGAAAATGTGCTCATCGGTTTTGTTCTGTTTTTTAATAAAGCTCACTGACAGTTTCAGAATTATGTTTAGTGAACGCCATGATAATGTTGTCAGTCATGAAACATAGTTAATTACTGAAAATATTATCATTAACTTATAAACCATAGAAATTATAATAAAAGCATCAAAATTTACAGCATCTGCTGTTCTGCTCTGTTGCTATTTGTGAAATGTTACATATAATTAATGTTTTTGTAATAAAAAAAAAGACTAAATATTAAATAAAGATGAGATTGGAAGTTCACTTTTGACCTTGGAAACTGCAGTTGGTAAAATAATCTTGTCAGTAGCTTTCGATCATATCACATTGATCTTCATCAGATTCATCAGTTTGACCACTTGTTGTGAAATATTAGGGTTTCAAATGTTGAAATTGCAAAAGTTTTGTCATTTGCTGTTTCCCTAAAGTGCTGAGAAAAAAAAAATCTAATTTGAACATCTACCATCTATCCAGAACAGCTGCTGTTGGACCTTGTAGTGAGATTGTTTTGCCAATAAATAAAGTGTCTAATAGCTTGTTGGAACTAAATTGGTGATATAAACAATAACTAACACGCCTTTTAGAATAATTAATTTTATCAAAACCAAAATTTTAATTAAACATAACATTGTCTCAATGGACATCTCTAAAATAACCCAGCCTCTTTCCGTCATCTGTAATCTTTTATTTCACTTTACAAAAAATTCTTGCCACACATAAAAATGAAATATCAAACATCACAGATGTGACATGTGGATTTTTGCAACATCACCAGAACACTTAGACAAATAGGACCAATTGTACAAGGGAGATAAATGTATTTACACATGTATACACAAAATCATACACAGAAAATACACAATATTTGACATATTTACAACAGTCACACAAAGACAGCACAATACAGAGCATTCTCAAACATTAGACTTCCATAGTGAACAAACAGGAACAGTGTTTTTCTGGAATAAAACAAACTTTTTTCAGACTGTAAAGAAAGACTTTGGCTCAAGCCTCTAGAGGAGAACTTCAGTATGCATGTTTATCAAAACTAGTACAGTAAAATGCATTGGTCTTTATTACATTCACTTTGTTCTAACTTAGTATTCATAGCTGTTGGGTCCATATATATTCTCATTTTGCATTATTTCAAAAGGAAAAATGTATTTAAATATACAGGATCTCCTTAAAAATTGGTGAAAATATAGAATTTTAAAGAAGGTGTCTTTTCTTTGATTAATCCTCCGCATGATATATCAACATATTCTGATTGGCAGTTCAACAAGAAACGTCTTACTGTACATGATATTGAATAACAGCTAACAACCATGCAAGTATTTGGATCAGAATGGATGTCAACTAGGCGTTTACAATGTACAATTGTCCTTTCTTTGAGAGCAACTAACAACATCAACACTTTATAGTAGCGAGAAACATTACAGGCATGTCAGCTGACTTGTAAGCTTTTCTTATGGGTGCAAAATGGTCTCAAAATTATTCTCTGTACTGAAGTCCAAAGTATTAACCAATATCCACCACAGCTGACTGTAGTTCCATTAAACATGCTGTGGATGTTCGTGGTCCCCAGAAATTCGGATGATAATAATGACACCATGATCATCCTCCTATAGCACCACCGTCAGCCCAAAATCAATAAATCATTCAAATCAAATCTAAAGGGCAGTTTGCAATTTATAAGCACGTTCCAGCTCTCCAGAGGAGGAACTCATTTCCGTTTTGTTCATTACACAACCTTCCCTCTAGAGAGAGCAGGATCTTTAGGAATTGTGGTAGGATTTCTGAAAAGGTGACGCTGAGCTGCTTGGCTGGATGGACAGGCAGGAGTTTCTGCATTGCTTGAAAAGCTGGAAGCTGGACTGTATTGCGTCATGTATAGCGTTTCTTGATAAATGACTGGGAGCTAAACTTCATTGCTGGCTTGACTTTGTATGAAGGAGTTTGAGGAGCTGGAGTAAGAAAGGGATAAAGGGGGCAAAATATACTCTAAGCAATGAATGCAGTACAAATTAGAATTACAGACTTATATGAGTGTATGAAGGAGTTGAGGTGTTATTTAAGTGTCTTATTTTGAATTAGAGCTGCAACTAATAATTATTTTCATTACCAAAGAGGCAATTCTCAATTAATTGATTAGTTGTTTGGACCATAAAATGGTAAAAGTGTCGATCGCTGTTTCCCAAAGCCCAAGGGGACGTCCTCAAATGTCTTGTTTTGTCCACAACCCAAAGATATTTAGTTTACTGTCATAAAGGAGTAAAGAAACCAGAAAATATTAACATTTGAGATGCTGGAATTAGAGAATTTTTAGATTTTGGTGATTAATTTAAGAGCTGACAACTAATCGATGAATCATGCAGCTCTAGGGTAAATAAGGGTAAACTGTCAGCTGAGGTCTACGCCTATGAGCACTAGAGGGAGTTGAGTGGTGTGTATGTGTGTGTGTGAAGAAAACAAAATCTTTGAAATGTTTTATTTTGAAAGTCTTGAGCGCTCTTGAAGCCGCTGCAAGCTCCTCTTTCCACCATTTGTGGCTTTTAGTACTTACTCCAGGGCCCCAGACTTGCAAAGGCATAGATGGATGGATGGATGGATGGATGGATGGATTGATAGGCAGACAGGGAACAGAGAGACATATAGTAGATGGATGGGTAACACTGAAGCTACAGGAGGAAAGAGAGATAGCTGAGATGGATGACTGCATGAAGCTGAAACTAATCATCCGTCTGCAGGACTAAATCATTTCTGCCCTCAGACCTGAATGTCCGCTCAGAGTTGACAGTGGAAGCAGCTGAATGCTTTTTCAGTCTGACACTTACTCATTTTCCTTCTGCTCAATCGATACAGTCCCCACTAGTAGGTAAACACGTCTAAAGACACTTCATTGTGTGCGACTCTGACAAGTGAGACCAAGAAACAACAAAACACAACAAAATTGTCAAAAGGGCTACCATCAAGAATAGCCCTTAATGAGTTCAGTTTTGAGTCTGTCGGTATCTTAAAAATCGACTACAGGTCGATCAATCCTCATATTTCCACTGAATTTGCTCAAATGTTTGCATATCTAAATTAATCTAATGACCCTCCAAACACCTTTTAAAAGACAGACATGACTCCTCATCTTTGGCGTGATGCGATAAAAATTAAACAAAGTACAGTACAGTAGAGAGAGTGATCAATTCTAGATGTCACTGAATTATTACACATAAGACAGACACTTGAGCCAGCATGGTATATAGCCCAGTTCACACCAAAGAAATCATGACGAGATGAAAATGTTTAAGGACCTTGCGGTGTCAACTCAGCCTGTCAAATCTCCAGTGAAACATAAGGCTCGTTGCAAAGCCAGCTGCTTGAAATGGCAAAGTTCTGGACAGAGAAAAGAGAAGATCGCCTCGTCAGTTTGTTTGACACAAGCCTTAAAAGTTACCCATGAACCCATGGATGGCTCCAAATTCTCAACCTTCTCGTTTTATTGAGAGCTTTTTTTTTTATTGTTTTGTCAATAAAATGCAATTGTAGCAAGTAAGTCAATATCACTATCCTCGTTCTATATTTTATGATGGTAGGAATAATAGCCAAACAAAAAAAGCTACAGTTAGCTGTTAATTATGGAGATGATACCCTGTCTCGTCTATTTGCATTGGTGTGAACTGGCAGGGTTTCAGTACGTTGCAGACCAACGAATCTTTGGTCTGAACTGGGCTTATGTGATGAGGTACAGTACAGTATAATGTTTAAAGGGAGTACTTGAACAGTTCAGACCAGGATCCAACAAAACTTGGCCAAATCAAGTCCATAAGATTGGAAATAAATGTGGGTTTTTTTTCTCCAACAAATTCTATGACGATAGCCTGAAAAGCTGCACTGACATCGTGACTATCGGTTGTTGCATCTGTCAGTCTGTTCATTTTCATAGCTGCTGTTTCAGATCCACGTGGGGACAAATAGTGCAGTTTTTGTAGATTAAAAAGTGGTTAATCATCATCATACGTTCTCATTTTTTTATCATGACATTGACCAATCAACAGTCCTTACACCCTTCTGTCTGTTATCTTCCTAAGGCAACAACCAACCAAGTATGTACAAAATGTATATTTTCAGAGAGGTATTATTCACGCTTTCCTTCCTTAAAAGACGAGTTTTGTCAGTGTGGTGGATATTATCAGGGTGTTTGCAATGAGTATATGTCAAGAAAGAACTTTTGGGCAAATAAAACAGTTTAAAAAAATGTATTCATGACTAGCTAGCATCGCTGAATCAAGTCTGATCGTTGGTGGAAAGCGATGTCAGTGAGTGTCCGGTAGATGAGCCACTCGGTAACGTTAGTGTTGAAACAACAGACATCGAAGCCATCCATGTGTTCCTGGTAGAACAGGTGCTCCATGCTAACAGGTCACTCTCTGTTAGCTGGTTGTATGCTCCATGCTACAATATGATGGAAGTTACCGTAGAAAATAAGTAGGAGCCCCAAAGCTGTAAAGTAATTGTGAACAATATGTGGTCGTATATTTGGCAGTGTTTTCAGAGAGACTGAAAAACTAAGATTCTCCTGAAATAGTTGCATAAATATAAAGTTTAGTAATGTAGATGTTAAAAAGAAAATAAAAACCATTAACAATCTTTTATAACTAATGTGCTACTCATTGCTTGTGGCCTACAGTCATCTATTATGCTCCTTTACATCACCACGTCGCATTGTACATCTGCTACGATGGACCCCTGCTGCCCCTATTGGTCATATTAATGCAGACGTTATGGCAGCAGCATATTACCCAGAACTTCTTGCATGAAGAGCACATTCAAGCACATGTAAAACACTTTTTCTCAATCAATTTCTTTAGTTTTTCAGTTTTCAGAGTGGTTTTGCTCATTTCTTAGCTTTTATTGCTTAAATTGTTTTACTTTTATTAGTTTCAGTATTGGTTTTAGTTTTTTTAGTCAAGATTTAAGAATAGGTATTACAATACAAACACTCTGTGAAGGCAATTGACTCACAGTCCTGTAGACATCCCAGTCTCAATAAACATTTACACTTATGTCTCCTCATAAAACTAAAGACAGTTCCTGTATATTCTTATTTGATTTTAGTTCATTTTTTATGTACACAAGCTAGTTTTTTCTCATTTTTATTTTTATTTCAGTAAACTAAAATGGGTTTTTTAACACATACTTTTAGTTTTTAATTTAGTTTCCGTTTGCAACCACTGTGAACTAGCTGTGAGATAGCTAGCAAGTTTTCGTTCATTATTATAGATTGTTCTTCCCTCCATCAATAAGTAGTCATGTCCTAAATAGTACTGTACTGTCATCCTGTGTGAGGTTTTTTTTCGTAACTGGATTCAGAATTTCAGATGACAAGAGTGAGATGAGATATGTTTATGGACTGGACCAACATTTTGGCCAAACTTACAAGCCAGCACATTATCAACCTTTGCAGCCTCACCTCAATTCTCGGTAAAAACCACGAGGACCAGAGTACGATACACCCCGTTTTTGAGGAGGACTGCAAGACTTTTTATGGCCTTTTCCATGTTAGCATAGAGCTCCAGCATCAGCACTCTTACTACCAACACATGGATGATTCAGCTGTCTGATTTCTTGTGGCTTAATGGCAAACGCAAACCAAAAATCTTATTCTACTCATTTAAACAGGAAGCTGCATTGTGAATACAGCTCTCGCTGGTCCAGCTCACCCAGAGAGAATGAAAATGTGCCTGAGTCCTGTTCCATGTCCTGTGTTGGGTCCAGTCTTGTCCGGTTCCAGTATCAGTGTCAGTCACTGGGGTCCTGGCAGTGGGAGCAGTGGCTCATGTCTTCAGAGTAGAGCTCTACCTGGATGGTGATGCTGTAGAAGCCAAACTTGGTGTGGAGCAGATCAGTGGCCTCCTGCAGCACAGACTGAGCGTCAGCACCCTCCTCTGCCGGGAAATGAGAGAGGACAAAACAACACAGTGAGTCTGTTTTACTAGATATTGTTATGTTACTTTTCTCTAATTTCTCTATTCTTCTTGTGAAGTCAGTTCTTCTCATACTTTAGAAGAACTTAGCGCTGTTAGAGATTGTGTTTGAAATACAGATGATGTATGAATATGACACACAGAGAACTTTCTAGAGTCACATTTATAGGTGCTTTTTATAGAATACAGGTTAATTAAAGCTGAAAACTTAATGACTTTTCCATTTATAAATGATTATTTTATATGTATGTATGCTGGAATTGATGGTGGAAAGTAACTAAGTCCATTTACACAAGTGCTTGTACTTTACTGAAGTATTTACGTTTTATTCTACTTAATACTTCTACTTTACTACATTTTAAAGGGAACTATTGCACTTTTTACTCTGCTGTTAAGACATTTGATAACTTAACTTACTAGTTACTTTGCTGATTTAGAATAATACAACATATTATAAATCAGTAATTGAAATTAGCTCCACATTTACCAGTTAGAATATTATATATAATATGTGTTTTTCTGAAAAGGGTCATTCTGCATAATGAGTACTTTTACTTTCTACTTACTTTAAATATATTTTGATGCCAATACTTTGTACTTTTACTTTTGAATTCCAATTTTTTAATGCACAACATGTACTTCTGTCAGTATTTCTGCCGTACACTGTGGTATTGATACTTTTACCCTTTAAAAGATGTGAAGACTTTCTCCACCACTGGCTGCAGTGTAAGTAACATTTAACAACTGAACAATGTCAGTGTTAACTTCATTGTCAAGCAAAGTTAATTTTATTGATATAAAATTCATACAGCATAAAATCACAAATTGGCTTTTACAATCTTTACAACAATTTGTACAAAACCTTCTATCCCTCAACTTCCTGAGCAGCTTCATCTGCTACTGCTGTATTCTAGTTTTTAGTCCTCACTAGTTAGTGCAGGTCTTAGATCAGTGTGTGACATTACCTATGGCCAGGTGGACAGAGACCAGTGACTGGCCCAGAGTCAGAGCCCAGAGGTGCAGACAGTGCATAGACTTAACAGCCTTCACAGACAGCAGCACCTCCTTCACCGAGTTAAACTCTATTCCTTTCGGAGACCCTGAAAAACAGCAGATCACATCATAAGTCTATAAGCCTATAAATAGTTATGTCTGTAAATCTATCTGTGCCATCTGAAGCAGACTGTGCAAAGCACCTGAAATATATGGATACAGACAGGAAACAGTGACAATTCTGAGGATAATAAAAGCCTGTTTATCATGTTTTTATACATGTTAATGAGTACCAAACATTGAATTAGCTACCTAGGCTTGTATTACCATACAGCACATTCCATTTCTTTTCAGGTAACCTCTAAGTATTTTATTTAAATTATTTCACATTCAGTCATATTTGGCTAAATGTAGTACAAATCCCACTGCTACCAATAAACAAAGCCATGTCTGAAGTATGTCCCCAGTATGCATGAAGATTATATAAAAGTAATAATTCTTCTTAATTCCATCATGTTTCTCATTGACACCACAGGCCTGTTCCTGTCGTTGCTAAATGTTGTAAAAGGTGCTGCAGGCGGTACTTTTCAGAGGGTCATCTTGAGGAAGTTCAGTGACGTGCAAAGAGAATTTTAAAATGTCCCAAACATCTTACGACATCCCCAGGATGTGACCATCTGTGCTCTCGTTCTTTGTTCTGCATAAACTTAAACAGTGAAACAGCCAACTGAGGCCTGTGTGCTCATTTAGAACAATCCTGGTGTTAATCACTATTGAGCATGTGTGTGTAATTTCTGTAAGTTTAACATGAACCCTGACATCTACAGACATATACAGCGATTTAGTCAACCAAGACATGATTGCCTTCATCACACTGAACATGAGAGCCTGTCTGACCTTGTCAGATCAGGTCAAAACTTGACAGCTTGATCTCGGCTTCAGGCGAGGAAAACAACTCTGTGTGCCGGCAACTTCAGCTCAGGAGCCACCGTAAAGGCATAGTTCATCATTTTAGATAGTGTGTATATTTGCTTTCTTGCTGAGACTTTGATGAGAAGATTGACGCCACTCTAGAACAGAGCTGGAGCCGGTGGTGTTAAGGATTACCATTAAGACTGAAAGTCGGGGAAACAGCTAGCGTTGCTCTTCTCGAACTTCAACAAATACACCTGCTTTTTATACCTTTAAAACCACACAGTGTAATTTTTACACTTATGGTTGTGTACATATTAAACAACCAATATGAAACATGTTAATTATCTCCACAAGGCTGAAACTGTGTCAAAACCTTTAACCTTGTCAGAGTCATATTAGAAGACAACATTTTCACCCAACAGTTCATCCAAATAATCCCGATCTCCAAGTGAAGTACCTTCCATGAGTATCCTAAAGACGTCTCTGAGGATGGTGATGGTGGTGAAGAGGACAAAGACCGAGAACAGGAACGTACAGATGGGATCTGCAACTTTGTACTCAGGCTGAAAGAGAGAAAAGAGGTTATGGAGGCTTTAAAGAGTGAGTAAAGGAACATCAGATGGTGTTTTTTTCTTCCCCCTACAGTCGCAAGTCATTAAAGTGCTCAAGGCAAAAATAAGGGAACATCTTGCATGATGACCGAAACATTTAACCCTTTCATCCATAATAAACAAGACTCATGCTCTCTTCTCTTCTCCCACTACTGTACACATTAAAATATATCTTTAAAATACACTTTTGATTATTATGATGCTTTTATAATAACCCATCAAGTAAAGATGTAGAATATTGATATAAAATACCAAAAAAAAATGACTATTTTGATTTTGAAAATTTTAAAATAGATTAAATGTCTGCCCATGAATTGTATAGAAAAGCTGCTGCAACCTCATTTACCATAAACTTAATGAAAAAACTTAATTATAATGACAAGAATGAAGAATTCCTACTTGTAATTCAAGTCAAACTGCATCACATAAGATGACTGGATCATATTTTATTTTTATTAAAGGGCCAACATCACCAAACTAACATTTCAGTCTCACCCTAACATGAATGTGATCTATATCTGACCCGAAAGTAGATGATGATCGCCGCCACCATGACGCCGACGCTCTGCAGCAAGTCTCCGACCACGTGGATGAAGGCGGCACGGACGCTGGTGTTGCTGTGGCCACCGAGGAGTGTGTGGGAGTGGCCGTGAGCGACGGGACTGTGACCATCCTCGTCGATTTGGTGATAACCGCTGCCGTGGGCGTGGAAGGTGGTGGAATGATGGAGGATGTAAGCCATGCTACAGAAAGAAAGAGGTGCTTTAATTGTTGTGTACGAACAGCTGCATTCGTGTTCAGCAAAGTATTACATTTCTTGCGAATTGAACAATTTATTAGGAGCTTCTAACACAAAATTCCCCTCTAAGGAAGAAACAAATGCAGAGGCAAATACAGTTTGTGTTGTGTTGCTCTTCAGGCTATTGGCATCTGCAGCCAATCACGGTCCATCTAGGTGTATAAAGGCTGAGGAGCTGCTCTTTTAGGCTACGGTCACACATTCCCAAATGCTTGTCCACTTTCCCTCACACGTAGTGTTAATGCATTGAGAGCTAATCTGTCGGATCTTATACATCCTAGACTTACTCAAATATTTATTTCTGAAAAAAGAGGTTGATATCGGCCAAAAATCCTGGCAAAGACTAGTATTAATTCCTGGTGTTCCTTACTGAATTTCTATGAAATATATGAAAGGTCAACATAGTTTACAAGTAGAATGTATCATGAAGTGTGCAGCTTTAAACTGAATTTTAGCCTGGGTTATAGCAACATAATGTACCATATTAACACCCTTTAAGCTGAGAAGCACTCACATTATATTGACAATGACAGCACACCCGGAGGTAATCAGCATTACATGGCCATCAATCTCATAGTCGTTGCGTACAATCCTCTCGATGGCTAAATAGACCAGAGCCCCCGTGACAATCCAGATGGAAATGACTGAGATGAACGCTCCGAGGATCTCTGTGGCACGAAGAGAAGGGAGGCATGAATCTTAATCACTTCAACATGATAATACAGTTCATCATACTCAAAACAGCACACCTCTATCATGAAGTTTAATAACAGACCGCATCTCTCAGAGGCACAGCTTCAACATCAAACACACAAGACACAGAGACGCAGTAGAGACCCAGAAGTTAGACACATGTTGCACAGGTGTAATGTCGTTAATAAAGGTAGTAGCTTGTTTTTAGGAGTCACTGTACATACTCTTTAGAAATACCGTAAGTTCACAAATCTTGCTACAAGTACAGATTCTCCTAGAGGGCGGCTCAGAAACACTCCAGAGTGTAGTGGAGTAATGCCGGTGAGATTGTTTTCCTGGAGAATGACCACTTTGTCTTTGTAGGTGAGACATGAAGCGAACAAATTAACCTAAAATATGTAAATATATAATATTATAAAATGTGTAAAACTGTCCACCTCTCTTGAAACTGTCTGTGCTCAGATCAAATTCTCTTCTAGGTTCACAAATAGTCAGTGTGGTAAATCAGTGCCGTTGGACAAGTTTTCCGATGATGATGATTATTCTGAAATATTAGACTAGTGGAAAATCAGAATGGGAAATTCATTGAATTTATACATTTTATATATTTAGGGGGTCTTGTAATTGTCTCACTGGTAGTTTCAGACCCCTGGTCTTTTACATCAAGTAACAGATATTATCTATTAATGTATAGAAGCGGGGACTGTTCTTACACTGTGTCACAATTATAATAAAATATGGTGTTTATTTTGATCAGTGTGTCTCAAGTTGGAAGTCACAGCATGCATTCAATGAAACCGATACCTGACTTATAACTCACAAATTCATGCATTCACACTCAGCAGGTTCCAGATAAACCTGATAACATGCACCACCTTAAGGAAAGGAAAACAACAGCAGCATCACTGCAGAGTTGCAGATGTAGACATGTTGATGTTGCCTGAAGGTGGCAAAAGACTAAAGACTTTTAACCAAGGACTGCTTCCACCACCGTCTGTTATTCAGTGATTCTTAAAATCTTAAATTTAAGTAAATGTACTAAATTGTTCATCCAGTCACCATCCATTCTTCCAAACATCCATTCATCTTCCCGTCCTCCATCCATCCACTCAGACGTATCTGACCTGATCTGTGCCAACCAAAGTTCATGGTTTTGGTGGGCGGTCTGGAGGAGATCCACAGGGAGAACAGGCTCACCATCATACTGCCAAAATCTGTCAGGAGGTGGGCTGCATCAGTCATGATGGCCAGGCTGTGGGCGAGGTAGCCTCCTGTAGAAAACCAGAACATAACCGATTGTGAGCAATATTACGGTTAGCCTAAATCATTCAGACCAACCCCGTGAACCGATGACTTAAAAACTGTTGAATCTTTGCAACAGTAATAACGTTGCTTTTATTAAAAGATAAACTATTTTTATCCAGTTGTCAATAAAAACTGACTTTAAAAAACTTGCTGATAAGGAGTGTGTCACCAACTGTGAAAACACCCTCTGAGCAATAACACCCTCAACCTAATCACATCTATATCAGCCTTTTAAAGGTTTGTTAAACCTGTAATTTAATGCAGCTACAAACCGTGATATGTATTAACACTTAGATCCAGAGTAACGCCTCGGGGTAAAAGAGATGCAATATTCTTTTATATCATCATAAACGTCCGGGCAATCAGCCAGTGAATGTGAGCCATCATTTTATACTCTTGGCCATTAAAAGTTTGAGGCTTCGTTCTTTGTAGTTTCTTTGTTTTAGGGAGAAATGTGCAGTTACTCAAGACTTCAGCATTATATTTTAATGGCAGCGTGATATGAACATTTTCACTGTTGAATGGTATCTTTTGAACAAAAACCTTTGTATTTTTGCAATTTACATAACCCATCCTTGATGGAATTATACATTAATCAACAACAAACCAAAGCTGTATGTAAATCCACCAGCATCTAACAGCACAATATATTGAATAGCCTGCCAATAATGCCCCAGGAGACATCCAACAATGGAAATTAAATATAATAATATATATACACAGCCTCATAAACATAATAAACAAATTTGAACGAACAGAATCTTTATGTGTATTAATTTATGTCAGTTGAAATACTGTATATGCAGTGCTTCCCATTTGACATTAACTGGCTAGAGTTGTAAAATTGCTTACAAATGTATTTTTGCTCACATGAATTACTCTCTGTGGACACTCAAAGGCTGATAAGTGCTTTAAAAATGTTTGTGTGCGCACTAAATAGTTTTGTCATTAATGAACTTCCATACAATTCAGGACATTTTCTACATAACATTCTTCTCTTATGTCAGATGTTTAGTGTGTCTGGATTTGCTCCATTTATCACAGGAGAGCTCACATCAATCATTTGTCTGCCAGTGGAGACCACTTTCCAGAAGATCCCAAAGCTTCCTCAGACAACCAAGTGATTGTCGACATGGCCAGCTATTACTACACTTGATGTCAATGGGGGAAGGCTGACTGTGTCGCAAAAAATCTTCCAGGAGTGAAAAGTCGGCTGCAGCTCAAACTCTTGACCTCCAAATCACCACTTTGGCCAATTGCCGAACAAGCGCTGATACTATCCGATCAGTCAGTCAGAGTTAGGGGTGCTGAGAAGGAAGTCAGTTTATATAATGACGTCATATTAGAATAATTTATAGCCTATTTAACAGTTATTAACAACCTCTAACATAGATAAAACTGACAAAAACAAGGCAAAACCTTATTCCAGTTATAAATACCAGAGTACACATGTAAATAAGGTAAGTCATTATAGGTTTAAAGATTAGTGCTTCTACTTATGCCAGATTTTAAGGAGTGCTGCAGCTCCCTCAGCAGACCTACTTCCAGTGCCCATAGATACATCAGCTCTTTTGATTACAGCTGAATGAAAAAGTTAATTAGTTTTTAGATTTGACATCTTTTTGGGCCTCTTATAATTGAAAACTTGGGGATAAACAACAGTCAGTGCGCCCACATTTTGTGACCTTACATTACATTGCAGCAAAAGACACATTCATAGCGCATATCATTCATATCAAAGTGTCTTATTTGATTATGTAAGTGGCTGAAATTTTGATTATGCACCAGAAAAGGGAATTTGTATCACTTTTATTTCTGTCAGAAAGAAATATCAATGTCTGATCTTCTGTTCTTGAGTTTGTTTGAGTTTCTAAACTTTTACCTATGACCTCGCCAATCATGAAGACGAGGCAGACGGCTGAAGCGATGTAGAGTTTCTTCTTGGCCAGCATCTTGTCCCCACTGTCCTCACACGCCAAGGCTTTGGTACCGTGGCAGTGGGCACCGACGGGTCGCTTGAGCTCGATGGCACCGGCCACGCCTCCATTCTTAAAAGGGAAGTCAGGATATTGCTCTTTGGAGTCTGGGAAGGAGCTGCAAGGATACAGAAGGTATCATGAAGACAGATGGTCCATCCAATGCAATTATACACTTTTATGCAGTTTTTAAAGCCCCTATGTGTAGGATTTGGATTCCCTAGTGGTAGTAAGAAAAAAAAGCACTAATTGAATTGATTTGAGGTCATTGTTTGGACAACATGACTTTTAATGCATAGTGATATTAGCTTCTATTCAACCTCTGGTGGATTATGTGGTGTTGGGGTGTTTGTTCACCCTTAAAGACATTAAGAGAATTGATTTTTTGAGTAAATGTTTCTGCAGAGTCCAGTTATGTTTGAAAGAGCTACAGTAAGTGGAAACAGTTCATCTCCTGATTAAGTGGATTTCAATCAGTGTTCACTAAAGTGGAAGAATGATCAACCAGTGAAGAACCAGCAGAAATCGATTAATGCTGACGGTGAGGTGGAGTGTGCGTATGAAAACAGACCTGTTACATTTGGCTTTCTAGTTGTAGTTGTATCAACATCATTTAATTGCTATATTTTAGTGTCAAGCAGGCCCCAACTATACATTCAAATATAGTCATAGAAATGTTGCTGAAGGAACGTTTAACGTCTAAAAACTTTTCAACCAAGTTTAGCCAGTTTTACCATCTACGGTTACATGGTCACATGTCACCACCATGAAATTAAAATTGAGTGAAAAAGAAAGTTAAAGAAGACAAATATTATACAGTCACAGTGGCTCAGTGGTTAGCACTGTCGCCTCACAGCAACAAGGTCCTGGGTTTTTTCTGTGTGGAGTTTACATTTTCTCCAAGATCTAGAGTTGGTCCCTGGGCCCTGTACTGTGGCTTCCAACGGCTCTTGATACTTAGGATGGGAGGGGGACCATGGATATATGTACAAAGTTTCATGGCAATCCAACTGATAGTTGTCAAGACATCTCAAATCTGTAAACTACAAATGTCAACCTCATGGTGGCGCTAGAGGAAAAAAATTAGGGAATCACCAGCAGGATACGTTTTCTAGGCATCACAAATGTCTGTACAGAATCTCTTTGTGATCCATCCAATGGTTGTTGGAAGATCTTCCTAATTGCAGTTACTATATTATTGATTTGTTCTGTATGTTCTCCATCAAACAGCGACATACTGACTATTGTGGGATGTTAATGTTTAATGTCACTAACTGGGTACAGTGTTTGTTAAACCATTCAAACCATTGTTCAGCCTGGGAATTACACATGTGGATATATTTCACCTCTGACAATACAACACAATGAGCTGGATTTTAATCATGAGAACAAACCAAAGTGCTGACTTCTCCATTTCCCTCACACACAGAGACACATATAGCCTACACACACACACACACACACACACACACATCAGGCACACACACACACGCACACACACCCAGGTTGCTGTTCTTGCCATGTGAAGTGAGGGAGAGCTGCGATGATGTGGGTAATGAGGTGGAAAAAAACTAATTTAGGCTCACTTGAGATAACCGCACACACACAAACACACACTTTATGCCACACACTTCACATAGGAGATTGCCAGTGTTTCATGATCAGCCTTTATCTCACACACACACACAGACACACACACATACACACGTCTTATGGGATGTCCAAGCTGAAAAGAAGCAGCCAAGTGGAAAACGGATTTTGTTCAATTATACCACTGGGACGTAAGAGCAAACACCCCCCAAACACACGTACATACTCACAACACACACACACACACACACACACACACACACACACACACACACACAGCGTACAAACATACACTCAAGCCAGCTTCTGTTGGGATGTTATAAAGCTGAAGTAGGCTAATAATCTTTAAAGGCATTTGTACAAAATATCCACAATACAGACAATATGGACAAATATTGAACAACCACAGAAACACAAACAGTAACACACATAAGGCCAAAATGTTCAGACTTTACTACTACTGGTATAAATAATCAATAAACCACATTAGTTTAGTTTAAAATGAGGCTCTTCTAGCTAACATTGCTTCTTCCAATTCTGCCAATAGATTCTCCCAAGTGTTAAAAACTGGACCTCCACATTTAAAAATATGTTTATCTTCCTGTTCCTACAGTGTGATGTTTGAATGATGTCCGTGCAGAGTTTGACACTAGAAGGAGGTTTTCACATTCATCTGCTGGAAGTGGAAAGTTTCTCTGTGCTCATTGAACCTCTGATAGTTTGGACATAAATCCTGGTCCAGTATGCAACTTCTACAATATGATGTATGTGCATGTGAAGCCACCAGTAGCACAGACACTGAGAATGGACTTTACAGTAAAGTAGGAGATATCTTGTATCCTCAGGAAAACATATTCATGCGTATTCATAGATTATGGAATTTTAATGAGGTAGAAGGAGTAGATTCTTTTTTAAAATGGAAATTATACTTGAAAACCCATATCCGACACACATTATTGTTCCAAGCAGACCATTTGTATCATGTCTTAATACCGGAGGGGATCTGGAAGGTTTTTTTTACACCCTTCAGAGATTCAGCTTCACATTTGGCGTCTTCTCATTATGGATTATCTCCTGTTTAACAGTCAGTGTGAACTGCTGAACAAACCTCTTCGATGAGCAATCCAAAGGTAATAATGAGCTTTATAGTCACTGTTATCGCCCTATGGCTCATATTTAATCTGCAGCAGTCATCCTGCTTACATTAAAGTTTGCATTAAGTTCTTGTTTGGCAACACTGAGCACGATGTTGTTTCTCTTAAATATCAGAGTTCATCTGTTAGCCAATATCCCACAGGGCAGGTGTACAGTGTTTGTTTGCTCTTTCACTGACACTCAGCGTCAGCAGTGCAGGGACCCGAGGGAATAATCAGTCATCTGTGAAATTATACGATATGTAGAGGCCTCAGAAGAGCTGTCCACTGGACAAAAAAAGTAACCACCGAGCATTTAATTACAGCTGCAGTCGGCTATATCAGAGCACCGTACAGTATTTTCTGTAACTGACGTAACGATGCCTGCAGGGAGAAAGGACGCTGCAGAGCAACAATGTTCGGTTCCAGTGGCTTTAACAGACAAAGTGATGATGATGATGATGATGACGGCGATGACAGACTCATTACTTTTATTATGTTAGCACTTGCGAGGACGTGTTTCTGTGGCCTGATAATCAGACTGAATTGACACTGTGATCGTGTGTTGGTCTTAAAAATATGCTGATTTAAGAGCTTATTCGCTTTCTTGTTGTGAGATAGATGATGCCCGTTTATCTTCTTGTGTGCTGCTATGAAGCTACAGCCAGTTAGCTTAGCATCAAGAGTGGAAACAGGGGGAAACAACCAGCGTGGCTCTGCTCAACGATAACAAAATCCATCATACCAGCAACTGACCGACTTCAGGAGAGCATAAAACCACCATGTTTCATTGGGCAGAGCCAGTTGTGTGATTGCATGGTTTTTTGGTATTTGTACAGCTGCCTTTATCAATATCACAAATACTTGTTGTCATTTTTGTGGACATTTTGATGTTCTGGCCTCTGCTACAGGAAGACCGTGTTCTTCTTTTCCAACAAGGTAACAGCCGTCAGGGAGTAGAACAACACATCTGTTTTCGATGTGGCTCTACAGGGATGATAATGTCAGTACATGACTTTGGTCCAGACGGAAATATCTCAACAACTATTAGATGGATTGGCATTAGATTTGGTGAAGTCCTTCGTTGTTCCCAGAGGATGAATCCTAATGACTTTTGTGGTCCTCTGACTTTTCATCTAGCGCCACCATCTGGTCAGTATTGCAGGTTGTCTAATACGTTGAGCAAACAACTATAAAAACTAATTATATTCCCATCAGCCTTAGCTATACTTTGTGTACTACTATTTTCCATACATACGTATTTTCTATAACTTATAAGGTATTTTTGAACATAATTTTGTATCTTGTATTTATATGCAATATATTTTAAATTGTTTCAAAAAATGCAAATAAAAAACATTAAAACTACATTTAATTGGACTCTATGATGAAAGTTAGACTTATCTTTAGTATATTAGGGAATGAGTTATGAGCTAACAGAGACCAGGCTGATAAAAAAAGGCTGACTGGCCTCACTGGTTATTATCAGGGGGTTTTGTGGGAGCAGCAGCAGCAGTGGCAGACCCAGTATCTCCTGCCAGACACCCATTAACCCTCAGACAATTATGCTGCCTTCATGTGCGGCCAGTAATATCACAGATACCAGTGAGGAACCAATCCAACAGATAGACATCGGTAAACACAGCTGGGTAACATCATAAAGACACAGTAATAAGTTAGAAAGTATATGAAAGGGAATTAGTTGATTTTGTGTGTATTGTACCACAATCTAATTAAAAACAATACTTTTTATAATTAATATCTGGTGTTTTATGTTTTTCTGTGTCATAAGCTTTCATTTAATTGGCAGCTTTATTTTAATCAACATTATTACAGATTTTTTATGTAACTGGTACAAAAATGCTGCCATGTGATCTGGCTCTTTTTTTGTGTGAGACCAAAACATTTATTTTTTGTATATTCATGAATTTCCAACAAGATCTGGCAGATTTCCCCAAATAAAATGATCATTTAAGCTGTATTGTGCACACCCAGACACGAGTCCAGATGTCAGAAGAGTGAAAACCAAACAAAGCTGGCATTACTTTCTGAGAAGGTGCCTTTTACAAAGAGTTAACGAGTTATAACTAATGGATTTATTAGCTATAAGCCATTAACAAGAACACATTTTGGGTTGGCAGGTTGTTGCTGGTGTTTATTCTCCCCCAGCATTTTTTTTTTAGATGTGCAGCAATTAATCGATTAATCGATGAGTGAGATCAACAAAATGCAATAATTGATTGGTCAGTGAGTCACTCAACGTGTAGAAAATGTTTAATCATTAAATTAAAATTCTAAGTAAAATATGGCCCAAACATCCCTCCAGCCTCTCAAATGTTTCCTGGTTTTCTTTCTCTTTTAGTAAATTCAATATTTTTAGGTTTTGGACTGTTGAACAACATTTTTTGCTGATATTTTAAAGCACATTATTAATCGTTTTATAAAGAAAATAATAAGTAGATAAACTGATATTGAAAATGAATGATGCTAATTGCAGCCCTGGTCTTTGCAGCTCTTAGTTCATCATGAAGACCACTGCAGAGCATCCAGACCAACATATTACATTTATGAATGAAGGCTTGATGGATAGATAACAACCATTTATTAATGATTTATTAGTATTAATTTATTACTATGGATGACTTACAGACTTTTGCTAATGGCTTGACAAGAGAAACTGCTTCATTAATGACATTATTAATGTGACTAGAGCTGCAACTAACAATTCTTTTCTTTATCAATTATTCTCTTGATTAATTTATTCATATTTTTTCTGTAAAATGTTAGAAATGGTGAATAGAGCGTATGTTTACCAGAGTTTATCCAATGTGACGTCTAAAAGCAACAAATGCTCACAGTTAAGCAGCAGAAACCAGAGAATATCTTCCATTTCTACCTTTGTGTGACTGAAACATTATTGTTGCTGGTTGCCAATAAATTCACTCTTGATTAACTATTTGATTAATCAACTAATTGTTTTACCTTTACACTTGACTAAATTACTAAAAATCCAAAGGGACTCAAGACACAACCTCAGTTCTTACTCATAACCGATCTATAAAGCCTCAGTAAGCGATTATTAACCATCAATAAAGCCATTAGAAACATGTTATAAACCCTTAATAAAGGAGGCTTCATCAGAAAGACTCAGATAAATGAGGAAATCAAAGTATCGTTAAAGATTCTAGAAAACTATTATATAGATTATAGATCCTGGATTTATATATTTTAGGCCTAAATGTAAAAAAAAAAAAAAAAAAAAAGGAGCAACATATAAACCACTTTGCTGCCAGCTGGGAAGAAGGCTAAAGATGACACAGTAAACACACACACACACACACACACACACACACACACACACACACACACACACACACACACACACACACACACACACACCGGTGCAAATGGTGCATGAAATCTCAAATGTGGTGCCATATGCACATCTCTCTCTCTCTCTCTCTCTCTCTCTCTCTCTCTCACTCTCTCACACACACACACACACACACACACACACACACACACACACACACACACACACACACACACTCTGAACCCTAACAATAACAATAATAATAATTTCTTTCATTAGAAGATAATATTTGAATTATTCAGAGGCCTAAATATCTGCAACAACAGTCTGATAAAGAACATTTTTACACCGGTTTTTATTTGGTGTTCTTCCTCATAAACAGTAAAAATCTGTCAGTTCACATCTTTTAAACGCGGTTGGGTTGATTGTCTGTAAGAAACTGAAGAGTTCCGGTTACCGGTTGTGGATCAGATGGATGGAAACAGACACATCAGGAGGCCTTCAGATCTAAAACATTTAAACACTGACTAATAATTATCCCTCGTTTATATTTCGGGTTATTTCCCCGCACATATAGTCCACATATAGTCCGATATTCCCTCTGTTAGAATGAGCGTTCAGGAGGATGCTGAAACCCATCAGGTGTGTTTCTGCTGCAGCAGGTTTTATGTTCAACAAACACAGCTGAAGAGCATCTGTTGCAGTATATATATATATATATATATATATATATATATACACACAATTATAATATATATTATAAGAGGTAAAAGGTGTTCGCGATATTTGGTGACAAAAAACCTGCCCAAGATCAAACATCATTTATTATTAGATTATTAGATTTTTGTTTGGTATGACATTTTTATTTTAATATAAAATAATATGTTTCTTTTAATAATTATAATACCGAAATGTACGCGTATTATTATATATTATTAAAAACCTTTCAGATTTAGGTCTATAAGATCAAACTTGCAAGCTGATTTCTTTCTTTTTTTAATTATTAGGCTATCTTATATTATTATGGGCCATTTTTTAAAATATAAATTTCTTCCTGAATGTCTTACACCAAATATTTTCTAATTAAAATAAATTAAACATAATAAACCTCTCTGGACGTATTTGTGGTACCTCCACCTGCAGGTACGAACACCTCCATGTATTTATGTGTTTATTATTAATCTGATTTCGGTGTCTTTCCGTCCCACGCAGCCTGAACGTGCAGCGAGCTGCTTCCTGCCCTCCTAATGACAGATGATGAGTTTTTAGCATTGCTCAGTGAGCTGGCCCCGGGGGCCATTTGTCACAGGCTGTCCAGAAACAAGCCAAGCATGGAAATGAATTTGTTCATTCACATAAAACAGCCCGCAAGAGCGGCAGCCTGCTTAACATGCACCCCAGTAACAACAACTGCTCCCGACCTATACGAGCTTCACACCATATATGATACATACAGGGTTTGTCCTGCAGAGATCAGGACGTGCAGACCGCAAAATGTTCACTTTTCTACCCCAATCTGCTGATCCCCCCCTCAAAAAAAAAAAAACAAAATCACCGAGAAACAGACTTCTTATCGGTCTTTAAACTTCACATGATTCAATAGTTTTTTTTTTTTAAAGCTTAAATATATATATATATTTTAATTGCATGCCAAATTTAACATGCACAGGTAACTTAGCAGCACATGCAGCAGTGTTTCTCCATGCAGCTGTATGAAACATGTTCCCACCTTTGTAGTTTTAAGGAATACATTTTCGCATTCTTCTCGTGGATCAGTTGAGATTTCTCCGAATTTGCAGCGTTATTATCCATTTATTCAGCCTTTATTCAGCCTTTATTCAGCCTTTATTCAGCCCGCAGTGAGTCGCTGTCCCCTCTGAGAGAAACAAAAAGAAGTAAAGGTGATGGGTTTTTCTTTTTTTTGGATGCTGCAGGAGTTTTGCCGACAGGTCCTGGTCCCAGATCTTCACTCGACGCGTGGGAAAGTCAGCCGAGACCTCATTTCTGTGAGCAGAGAGACTTCAGAACAAACGGATAAATTCCTTCATTGCGGTGTGTGGAGATGCGGGAGGGAGGAAACCACATGCGGGAGGGAGGTTTTTTAATTGGGCTGGAGTTGTAGCCTCGAACATGCGGCTGCAGCAGTGATAATGAGGCACAGCGCACTCACACACTGCAGCTTGCTGTTAGTGGACAGGACAGAGAGGCTGTACCCACACAGCACACAGCCGGAGTGATGCTCAGACACAGGCAGGACCTCCGGTGGCTCAACCCTAATGGGGACGAGCATCAGTGTGAACGGAAATCAATTCACTCACAGAAACACACATCAGACAAAGATGCTTTTTATCCACATAAATTACGCGAATTAAAACATTTAGCAGCTGTAAATCAACATATTTAACACATGATGAGGATGTGTAGCAGATCATTCAGTGCCGACCTCTATTTTAGATTTTACATAAACTTTTCTTACATTAATTTGCATGCAGTTTGATATAAGGTGATATAAGAGCAGATTTATGCCAGGCTGAAAGGATATGCAGGCTGTATCAGAGCAAAACATAAACACTTATCACTGATTCTGTCTTACAAGAAAAAATATGTATGACATACAGAAAACCCACTTTCTCTGTGTCTAAAAATAAAACCCAGATTCATGCAAATCTTCAAACTAAAATTATAACGTGAATAATGAAGATTTCAGTGTCTACAATGTAACAGGCCTGAAAAAGATGACAAAGATTAAAAAGATGAATGCAAAAAGAGATGCATATTTAAAATACCATAGGTCCATTAAAAATACACTGCACATAAAACTGTGTCAGATTACAGATTCATAGGCGTCTTTATTTTAATGATAACATATAAAATGATGCCTCACTGTAGGCCTACTTTGAATTATATATTAAAGACTGGAAGTTAACAAGGTAACTATTCCCTGATTGTGTCCGCAGTTGATTGAATGTATAACATGGTGTATGATAGGATGATACAGGACAAATAATGCGGAGTTAGAAAGACTGTGGGTTTGCGGCACCGCGCCAATGCTGCATTCAGGTGCCTGTGGGACAAACGTAAATGTGGTCCACCTTAATCAGCTGTCGTTTATTACAACTGTTCAAGTTACATCCCATTTCTCTGCCATGTATTTTCAACCACAAGCAATAAAAAACACTGAGCACTTGTGCTTGTTAATGAGATTATAAAGTTGAATGCCAGGTTACATTGGCTATATGCAATGATAGTAATTATTGGCTCTATTTTAAATTAACATATTAGGTTATTTCAGTCTAAAAACTAAATTGGCATAATCTATTTAACTTACATGTTTTTGAGAGTCTATCACCTGAAAGACATTGCTGTTATTATATGGCCTCTAGTTATGTTTATTTTATGTTGTCTGCTATTTTATTTTGTCTGTATTTTTCAGTTTAACATAATTAATTAGTGGGCCTGAATTAATAGTCACAAACAAACATCACTAACGAGAATATTGCACATTTTCTGACAGAAAACAGCCACATTTTTATGTGACAGCTCGGGTTTAATAATAATAACAAAGCAGAGGACTGATCTGATCTTACACTTTTATTTTATTATTTAATTCAACACAACATATACTATATATTCTACACCAGTGGTTCCCAACCTGGGGGTCGGGACCCCCACCAGGGGTCACCACAGCTTCACAGGGCATTGCGAGGCCTTCTTGATTTTAAGGTGTGTGTACAGTAGGACTATATCTCATCGTCCTGAGTTAAAACAAATATGCAGTTATAACAACCAGAGCTGAAGAAAACATTGCATTTGCCCAAAAAGAAGCTCATTAAGTATGTATGCATGTATTGTTACAGATAAGAACATAATACAGACAGAGTTGTATAAAAAGTTCCTAATTTTATGCAGTTATTACGTTTATTTTTACAGTTGATCAGTTGTTTTGTCATTGTTAAGCATTGAATATAAAATAAAACATCCATAAAACATGTCACTTAGTCAGTTTACTCAATGATAGCAAAGAGGGTCCAATAAGGAAAAAGGTTGGGGAAACATTTTCCCTAAAAACCAAACAACGTACGAGTAGTTCACGGACTCAGTCCTCATTCTTCCGATTACTATAAATACACCACCAGGTTACGTCTCCTGACGTCATGACGCAGCCAGCGTTTGGTTTCCGCGCCGCGCCGAGCCGACGATGGAAACAACAAGCAGCGAGAGTAAAGCGGAGGAGCCGCCGACAGACGGAGGGATGGAGGCGGACAGGGCCATGTCGAGGTCGGACAGGTAGAAGATAAATGTGAATAAAAGGAATAATGTCGGCAGGACGACGTAAGGAAGCCGCGAAGTGAAAAAACCGGCTCATGTCAAAGCGAGCTATCGTCAGCTAGCTAGCGTTCACAGGCATAACCCACGCATTGTGTTCGCGTGGTGTCGAGGAGAAACGAGTAAATGACATTTAAAACAGAAACGGAGGCGTTGTGGACGAACTATTAAACCTTTATCAGAGGTTAATGAGCTGTGTTCTACCGAGCTACAGTTGTTTAAACGCTGGCTGCCTTCCTCTGGCGTCAGCTGCGCGTATAACGGTGTGCTTCCATTTAACGGCGGCCACGTTACACCAAACTCCTGTGGGAATTTAACGGATTTTGCGCGTTATCTTGTTTGCTAGAGTTTATATTTACCGTGACATCATTAAACAGTGTTTCAGTGTGGTCTGTTTAATTCGGCGTTATTATCCGGCGACTATAAACAAAAACTACCTTCAGTCTGCTTTGGACAAATACAGATTTAATGGAGAGGTGGTGGTGACACAAAGCGAAAGCTGGTTTACAGAAGATCTACTCTGTTGTTATCGTGCTATCCCTGGATAACACGCAGCTCTAAGGATGTGCAGGGGCGTCAGGTGTCTGTGTGGCAGCCAGGTGAATCTGGGTGTATGAATTAGGATCTGCTGTAGCTGTGGAAGTGAAACTCAGATGGGTTGTCTGAGTGGGATTAGATAAGGATGTGTGTCATTTACTCACATGCCTAAAGTCGTTTTAAATATGTCAGGTTAATATTTGCTTGACTGATTTTAAAAATTGACTACAGCTACCTGCAGATTACATCATTATTGAGGGTTTCTTCATTATTCTAAATACTAATAAAGCCAGACTATTTTACAAAACATCTGCTGCATAGTTTGTTATACATCTAATTATTATAAATCCAAAACAGCAGTTTAGTATTATTATTAAAATTAAGAATGTGAAACACTAATACAGTGTTTACACCTTGTGTTATTGCAGAGCTCTTTTTATCATTGAAGATATAATTCAAGTTAAGAAAGCAGAAACCTTGACGATCATTGCTTCAAGAACTTATATTAAAAAAAGTTGGAGACGTGTTTATATTTAAATTAGTTAGTAGTTCACATATAGAAGTCAATAATTACAGTGCAGGAGAGGAAGGAGGTCTGAAAGGCTTATTCAGAGTCCTCCTTTTGTTTCTGGCTAAATAAAAAACACAAAGCACAAACGATCTCTATACAAAACACACACAAGCAAACATAAACAGTAAAGCAAAAGAGTAAGAAAACATATATATATATATATATATATATATATATATATATATATATATATATATATATATATATATATATATATATATGAAGCATCTAAGTTGCCATAAGGTTCAAGATGAAATTAGTCTAAATCTACTGACACAAGTTCAGGTTTGGGTTGTTCAAGCACACTTTGACATGTGGACAGGAGGGCCGGGGATTGAACCACCAACCCTTCGAATAACAACCTCTCTGCTTTACCACCTGAGCTACTACAGCTGCACCATCACACCCAATCCACCATGCAGAGCTTTATTTAAATAACTTCTCTTATTAGACACAACTAAAACTAGACGATGGAGTTGTTCTAGTGGTACAGTTGGATCCTATTCACAAAATGTCCCAGCCAAGTGATGACAGCCTTACTCATGTGAATGCTGGCCCCACCCTGTGTCCATGCTGTGTCCAGGGGCAACGATGTGATTTCCTGGAGAGTGTTGGCAAGATTCCCCCTTCCTCCCCCTCAACCACACCGACAGCAGAGACCTCACTGTGGAGAGAGAAGCTCAGAGAGAGAGACACTAGAGTACCTGGACTCCCTCTCATCTCTCTGCAGGACAGCAGAGTATCTGCAGCTCTACAAGAGTCTAAAGATAAAGGCTTTAAATGATCACATTTAGGCCCGTTTTTAAAATGCTAGAGGTCCCGCGGGAGACTTTTTTCCAGGTCGTACAATTAGCCTTTTAATTGTACGACCTGTCTTACGTTTATCCTTGTGGAACCTGCAGATACTACGAAGTTAAATGCCTGTATTGGAGCAGCAGCGTGGGGCCAACTATGAGCTTACAAGGCATCTCTGATGGCAACCAAGAATTAAATAGATGAACATGCAGCCAACATGTTACAGGGACTAAATCAGAGTCGTATCAAATCCATTCTGCAGTAAAGTCTCTAAATATCAGCTTAAATAATAGGAACTTATTCAGTAATGATAATGTTTACAGTGCGTGCTCTGGTTTCTCAAATCAATACAGATCTGTTACAAACTAGTTTATAATGTAAGTACATCAAACAGAGACTAGTGAGCCTGAAGAAAGGAGTCAACGTGCTGCTCTCTGATCTTGGCATCTGTTGTCTTCCCGTCTTATAACTCCAGTGAGAGCGGAGACGATTCCCTGGATGGCCTCTCGAACCGTGTCCCCCGGTGCCCTTTGACCCCGTCTTTATCGCCACAAAAACGGACCACGAGCCAATCTAAGACCGAGCCTCCGCTGCTGAGGACGGACAAACGGACCATCTACACCGCCGGCAGACCACCTTGGTACAACGTCACAGGGACCACCTTCAAAGAGGCCTTTGTTATTGGTGAGAGAGATATTTATGTTACATGTATATATTAAAATTTGTATAATATATTACAATTCTTCTTATAGATGCTCCTAAAATAATGACCGTTTTTGTGATTGATTAGTGATGTAATGATACACTATGAAAACATTTTCTCAAACAAAAACATTCTTTATTTATCAAATTATAGAATCATTTTGTTTTCCTCAAGTAGGATATAAACTCTGCAAAACATTTCATATTTCCTTTTGTGAAGTGAAGCTGGTCTTTGCGCCTCGACACCACGATTCATTTTTCATCTCACCAATTTGAATCTTCACCTTTTTATATCGCGATTATGCGTTATATAGTCTATATAGTCTAAAATAATGCCCATTGAAATGTCTTCAAGTTGCAGCCCAAACCCCCAAAACATTGATTTTACAATGATTTAAACTAGATAAAAAACAGAAGAGTCTAACATACGAGAAGCTTCAGCCACTGAATGTCTCACATTTTCCTTAATAAATGAATTTATTCATTTTCTTCAGCTGTGTAATCAACAGTTTTGCAGCTGAGCTCTGGCAGCCATCTTTCTGATCAACACAGTAAAATATCAGCCTCAGGACGAGTCCCAGCAGCAGTACAGTGAACCGTGACAGAGAGTGTATGTGTGTGTGTGTGTGTTTGACATTCGCGGAGGCAATGTTCCGTGGTTAAACACATCAGATTGGCATGAGTGGGATTGCGTGCAGTGAGAAGGCGGACATTATCTTTAGTAGGCAATCTGTTATTGTCAATGGGCCGCAGTGACTGGTTACAATTTCACACTCGGCTGTACTGTAGTCGATGTGGGCCCCCCCGCCCAAAAAGGAGCAGACTGTGTAACCTGCAGGGAACTGGACAGAGATTAGCCTGAGAAGAAAAAAACAACCCACATTAAAGGTCAATGAAAGATGGCGAGAGGAGATGAGAGGAAAAAGTGGAAACGATTAGGAATGTGAGTTTTTTTTTTTTCTTCTTGAGGGTGGATATAAAATGCAGGGGTAGCAAGTAGTGATGGATGGATGAACAAGAAGAGGAGGGACGAAGAGGGGAGGTGAGGACAGAGGGGGACATTGTGAGGCGTCATGGATACCAGAGGTTGTTTTCTATCTCTTCAGTCTGGTTTTATTGCTAATAGAAAAAGCACTTTTTATCTGCTGTAACAAGCCGTCTCAGTGGTTTCACTGCAAATTCGTCATCAATGCTGAATCTATAGGAACACCTTCTTATAAATAGGGTTTGATTTCTTTTTAATACACCTTATTTGCAAGTCAGAGCCAGTACTTCTATAACCTCTCTGAAGCTGTAATCATACATAGAAATGAGTAGCACTGCGGTGTGCTTTTCCTCATTCTCCCAGTCAGCAGTTTTGACCTTGATGGGTCTTATCTGAGCAAAAAAAAGAAAAGAAAAACCCATTCCAACACTTCACCGAGAGTTGTTTATATACCTCAGAAGTAGCTCCGTAGGCTATTTCTGTTCCTGTGTGTGCGCGTGCACACACCGATAAACACACAACCGTTCCAATGCATCCCGTTTTTCACCATCCAGCACGTAGTTCTGGCCCAGTTCCCAGGATTGTTGTCCTGAAGGATAACTGTTTTGGTCTTTAACTCAGGAGGTCGAGTGAGGTAAAGTAGGATTCCAGACTAACTTTTTTTTACATCAGCGGTACTGATGCCAGTATTTATTTATTTATTTATTTATTTATTTATTTTTTTTTCCAAGGTATTGACACCAGCACAACATATGGTTGCACCCACAGATTTTCTGCAGTGCCAAGCAAAAAGAGTTTAACATTGCTATTTTATGATCTCCTTGCTGTTTAGTTACAGCACATATGGAATAAAATGCATTACATTTATATACATTTTTTACAGTTTTTTTTTTTAGCTTATTTTTTATCTTCTTTTATTTCATTTTACTTTTTTTAAAAGAATTTGTCACTTTTAAATCATCGTGTGTCTTTTTATACTTTTTCTTAATGTTTCTGTCTTATGTAAAGCACCTTCACTAGCTGCGTTGTTAAAAGGTGCTTAATAGCGTTGCCTTGCCTAGCACAATGCTAAAAGGATTTCTTTGTAGTAGATCAACAGAAAATTTATCAATTTGTCATTTTGATAATCAAACACCCAAATCCCCAAAATATCAGCATCTCCAATTTGAGGATTTGCTGCTTTATGGATATATTTGGGTTTTGGACTTTTGACCGACATTTGAAGACATTGTTTTGTTTTTTAAGGAGTTGAGGTGTTACTATTTTTGACATCATATAGACCAAACAATGAATCAATCAATCAAAAACATAATCGCCAGATTATCAGCTAAGGAAAATGATCATTTTTTTGGAGTCAGATTTATTACTGATTGTTTATTTGATTGTATGAGTTATTTTCTGCATATAACATAACACAACACATTTATGGTTATTCAGTACTCTAGATAGCATGAACCAATGCTACATACCACATCAGTTATAGTCTTAGTTATTTTGCAATGGGCCTTTTGTACAAATGCACATAATAAACACAATACTCATTCAACATGTACAAAACACAACGGTACAATACAATATAACTCAATGACGAGCACCAGATTATTCGTGACTACTTGACTGATCCCTCTTTAGAAGCTGTGTCAACTTGAGTTTAAAATAATTCTGTACATCGTTCATTTTGTAGAGGACATTTAAGGGGAAAATTGGAAAATTGTTCAGCCCGTCCACAGCTGCTCTGTATGTGCATTGGAATTCATTAAGGTGGCAGAACTGAGGTGACTCCGCTTCTCGACTGACTGCAGTGCTGCAGCAGAAATGACAAGACTGACAGCTGCAGTTATATGGTGCTATATATGTATGTGGAAGCACTTTCTTTCTGTAAGAGCAGTCAGTCAGGTACCTGAGCACCACACTGGGTCTGTCTGTGACTATCAGCCTGCAGCTCGTAATCTGTCTAACCATGTTTTTGTGAATTCTGGCACCGTTGGGGAGGAGAACAAACTCATAAAGCAGAAATACTAAAATGTCCTTGAGATCAGTGATCGAATACAAAATCTTGTCCATATGGGAGTTAAGTTGTCACACTCGTATGTCCTGTTAAGGGAAAATAGGATAACACTTGACAACATGAGCATACCTAATAGGGTTAGACCGATTCATTGGGATACGTGTAATAAAAAGTTATTTTCTCAATCAGCTAACCCTTTGGTCTAAAAACCGACGTCCATGTCCGTTTCCTAAAGCTCAAGGGGATGGTTTCAGATAACAAATGTCAGAGAAAACAGTCCAAAACCCAAATATAATCAATTTACTATCACAAAGAAAAGCAGCAAATCCTCACAATTGAGAAACTGGAACAGAATTTTGGTTGGTTTGATTTATGTCTAATAAAACCGAACCTGCAGATTTGTCTTTGACGTTAACAGTGTTGTGGTTCTTTCTGTTCTCCTCCCTCAAGGTCTGTGTGGAGGAAGTGCTTCTGGTAAAACCACAGTCGCCAATAAGATCATTGAAGCACTCGACGTTCCCTGGGTGGTTCTGCTCTCCATGGACTCTTTCTACAAGGTACAGTTAATGGCCCTCAATGTAAAGTGTCATTTAAAATATAAATCCGAGCTTTGGTTAATAATATTTTTGCAGTGCATAGTTGCAAACACTCTGAACTGATTTACTAAGGAATAGTCATATTTCAGATTAAGTGCTCAGCTTTTTAAAATCAGTGTTTCATAATAAGTAATCAGCTTTTGGTTTTAAAACAATATCCTGTCACTGTAACCTAAATATGAAACACCCTTGAAGGTCAGTAGAACTGATCCCAGCACAGTAAGTACAAGCTCCTGTCCGATAACCGGTTGAACTCAATAGTTCATATCAATTATGCCGCTCTCTCCTCTGAGAGGTTGATTGCGTTTTCACTCTGAGCCTGTTATGTGTGCACGTCTCTGTGGATTGGACCTAGTTGTTGTCAATTAATGACAATGACGTGACAGTGAGAGGCAATAGGACAATAGATGTGAGAGAGAAAAGGGATGAATGGGAAACAAAAGGTCTGTGGCTGGATTTAAGATGTATTAGAGATATAAACTTTGTGTTTGTACTTCAATTAACTTTTCCCATTTTGTATTCTGTTGTATGAAATGTATTCGAGACATCAAGCAGAGTTTTCTTATGGTCACACACTCATTTTTAAGTAATTAAGCATCAGCATCGTCTTTCAAAATCTGCATTGGTGATTGATCATTAATCCTCCATTGCACCCTGTAGTTAGGTGATCTTAAAGAGCAAGTGTGCCATCAAATAAAGTATAAATTGTAGCCCAGTGAACAGCAACCGTATATTATTTAGAAATGATATATAACTAGAAAGAGCTGCTCTGTCTGCTCAACTTGTTTTTCTTCTGCCGCTGTGTTTGTGTGTTAGGTGTTGAATAAAGAAGAGCAAGAGCTTGCTGCCAAGAACGAGTATAACTTCGACCACCCCGATGCCTTCGACTTCGAGCTGCTGGTCACCGTCCTCAGAAAGCTGAAGAAAGGAAAAAGCATCAAAGTCCCAGTTTACGACTTCACGTCGCACTGCAGACGCAAAGAATGGGTAAGATCTTCTCCCTAACTCAACCAACTCTGGGTTCACTTACTGTATGCTACGTTTTAGACAGGATGTGTCTCTCCACAACCGTATTAATCTATACTGTTAGAACTGTGGGCACAACTGGACATATTGAGTATTCCTCAGCGTGCTGTTTGCATCCTGATAACAGTTGCTGCCAGATGAATGTAAACATGTTGACTTGACTGAGCTGTGAAATACTAATAATAAAAATAAATTGATAAACAATGGCTACCAAATGGAGATATAATGCAAAGTGTTTATTATAGTATACAATAGTGTTTATTGGTGGATTTCCTTTTCTGATTTGGTCACATTTATCTGTAGAGGATTGATTTGAAAACTCTGATTATTGACTCTAATTGTAGATTTGTACCTTTCTAACTTTAAATACTAAAAATCTCCCCCTCCCCTTGGATGTTAAACGTTCACTGTATGTGCAGAGTCACATTTATCTGCTAATCTGGGTAAAGTCTCAGTTTTAAAACATGTACAGGCAGGATTTTGTGACAGCAGTCACAGTCCAATATGCCCCCTTACACCAGTGTGATGTGGCAACTTGAATCCTCCAGTGCACATACACTCAAGTTTAAACTGCTGGACACAAAATGTCTCCTACTTCACTGAAGATTTTTTGCGTACTCAGATTCAGAATTTTTAAACGAGAGGAGGAGTACATGTAATTTTACGAATTTTGAACTAAGAAATTGAAGAAAAATATTCAAAGCAGTGTTCTGTTATACGACTGCAGGGGATCTTTAATCTTATCAAATATAACATTGTTGCAGATTCCTGATCAGTTGGAGCAGAATTGATAATCAATGCTGAAATATATCCAATCGTAGTTAAAGAATTGGGACCTAACCTTTATCGGGACCGGGACTTCACTCCAGTCTATAGAGGATAATCTGCATTCACCAAAATAAAAGCGGTAATCTTTTTTGTAATATACAGGATAAAATTACTTGAGCACTGAACGCTCTCTGGGGACGTGTTAGTCGTTTGAGCTGATGCCAACTGGGATGCCTGCTAATTTGCTAATTATTAAGGATTTTGTGTACAGCACATTAACCCAAGCAAAGACCACAGATCCCCCCCCCTCTCCCAAAAGCATTGTGAAGAATCAATCTGGCTGTGTAGCACTCTGACAACTCCTCTCTATTTCTTCGCCATGTAATTTCATGGCTGAAAGGCGCAAACACCACACGGGAAATCGCCTATCACGACTTGTGACTCTGAAATCATTTTATGGGCCTTTTGTGTTGGGGTGAATGTAATTAAGCCCCCAGACCCTGAGGAGTGCAGGGGCCAGGTAGCTTCAGGCTGCATGCTGTGTGTGTGTTTCTCTTATCAATTATAAGGATGAAGGAGAGGGCACCGTTGAGTTTTCTTGCAGCTGCTTCTTCTTCTTCTTCTTCTTCTTCTTCTTCTTCAGGAGGTCACCTTCTTTCTCTTTCAGGCACCCAGTCTTAAACATGTTAAAGACCCACTAAATCATCTCTTGGCGAAGAACAGGGAAATGAACAAATCGATAAATACTCATCTGTTTCTTTAGAATTTGCGTTCTGCTTTTCACACACAACTTTGCGTGGACGCTCTCTCTCTCTCTCTCTCTCTCTCTCTCTCTCTCTCTCTCTCTCTCTCTCTCGCTTTCTCTCTTTCTCCAAATCAATATCAAAGTGTCCAGTCCATTGACTTTAGCATGAAGCTGGTCAGAGGAAGGTAACAGGATTGTGACGTGCTCAGCACCATTTTGTCTTTGATTGAGACTGTGATTAATCTCTCTCACAGACAGCGACACGCACACTCGCTCGCTCTCCTTGGCAGTAAAGCCGGTTCACGATGAGGTTTATCAGATAACTGTGAAGAATGTGAGCAAGTGTTTTTTTAGGTTGTGTTTTTGTGTCTACATGGCTGCAGGATTTCATGCAACTGATATATCTGCTTGCTGATTTATAAAAGCTAGACTTAAGCCTTATTTAACAACCTTTGTTTTCCAGCTTTAATGTTGTTTTTTTATTGTTAGTTTCATTTTATTCCTTAAATCAGATTTTAGAAAGTTTTATCATTACAGACTTTATTTCACACACATTTGATAGCTGTACTCCAGGCTGCAGAAGTCTTGTTTTAGCTTTGGTTAAACTTCACTATGGATGCATGTTGACCCCCATCTTTAATATTGGAATTGCGCAACCTTCTCACAGCCAGTATGAGCGGGAAGAATGATTGCATGACGTATAGGGCAGTGAGCTTTAGGCTAGACATCAAATATGATATGCGAAGCTATCCTTTAATTTGTTCTCTTAACAGAAAACTGTGTACGGGGCCAATGTGGTCATCTTTGAGGGCATCCTGGCCTTTGCCAACAAGGAGCTGCTGAAGGTAAGAATAATCTGCCCTGTCATTCTGTTTTTAACTCATACACGCCTGAACTGTTTCACACATCAAGTGCCCCATTCAAAAACAACATACAGGAGACAGGACAGTGAATGCACCGCCGACTTGCTGCCGGCCGACCCTGAAGTCTGAGATTTTCTTAAATACCTGCACAGAGTTCTCACTAACTAGTTCACGTTCATTTCAGTCGGGCCAAGTTTTTCTTTCTCATTCTCTGCTCTCTGAGCCAGACCTGATTAATGGCTCTGTCAGCCCAGAGACAACCAACAGACTGATTAATGGTGAACTGAACCTCCTGATTCTGAGCGCGGACGTTAAAACAGCTAACTGCTAATTTATCTGTGTGATGAAATATTGCATATGGGTGACGGATTGGATTGGGACAGATTTTTATTAAATATCTGTCAGTTTTTGTCTCTGTGGAAACATAAAGTAACTGACATTGTATTTGATTATCTTTTTATCTGTATAGTTTTTAATTTAATTATTACGGTAATGTTATTATAAAACAAAATTCTCATTTATTGTCTGGAGTTCCTCTCAGTATGGAATAGTTAATTACATTTTATAGGTTTATGGGTGAATACATTTCTGGACCACCACAAAATAACTTTATTTATTATGTTTTGTACATTAAAAAAATATCAAAGCTAGACATGGGGTGTGGTTTAAAATATGGACACAAGATTTTAAGCTGGTATTTACACCCATGTTTGTGTCAGTGTGAAGAGGAGTCCTGGTTTATGGGGAGAAAATAAATTCCACAGTCTTTTACAATGATGCTGTTGAGGAGCCCGAAGGAAATCCATATGAACCGAAGGAGAGTGTTCTTTATAGCAGATGTGGTCTTACTGCTGCTACGCATCGCTGTCTTCAACCTTTTATAACGTGTGTGGGAGAGGGAGGGAGCGAGGGAGAGAGGGAGCTGGACCGTGGTGATAAGGTACGCAGTCTCCCCTGAGACCCAGCTGAGTAGTTGATTACCCTCTGATTCAGTTAATAACAGCCATTGTCCACAGTGATTAATTGTGTTTTGTGTCCATTCTTGTAATTGAAGTCCATTATAGCTGCAAATCTGATATGCTAATGGAGAGGTCTGTTATATATATTATATATATATTATATATATATATATATATATATATATATATATATATATATATGAGGAGATAATGGAAAATTAGAAATCAGTTGCAAATTTTTATAACGCTGTTATTACCAAAGTGGCTTCTCCCTTTTTAAAATATCTTCTGTGGTATCAGACCGTTGCGGGCAGTCTTGCATATAAGCAGCACAAAATTGTATTTACAGGATTTCAGCATCAGTGTGATGAAGTAGCTGAATATTTTTGGGGCATTTAAATGTGTTCTCTAGCTTTTTGTTTTGTTTTGTTTTAAATGGTCAAATCAAATCAGCGCCTCTCTTTTACATCCTCAGGTTTTAACGCAGGCGTCTGTTTCCAAATTGATATTCTCCAAGCTCAAGCTAACATAGACTGTGTCGACCCTCAGGCTGATTTTCTCAAACTGTAGGACTCCAGAGCCACAGCAGACATTATATAATGTTTCCACAGGCTGAATGGTTACTACCTGTGACTAGTTTAAACATAAAGCTCAGTTTAGTTCCCCTTTAACTCATTGGAGATGAGATATTATATCACCTACTCCAACATACCACATACATGCATACATAATGAATATGGTTTGCAACGTACTTGTTTGGGTTAATGGATATACAAATAAACAGACATACAAATGTGTTTACCTTCCTAAATCAGTGTAAAAACTCATAAAATAAAATAACAACTCATACACACAATCCTTCCCATCCTTCACTGACAGACGACAACAAATCCTCATTTATTCAGGAATCTCTAAATTAATTTCAATGATACAACTTCAGCGCTTATTGTCCCACAATCCAGTGCACAATTGATTACTGGTGCGTTCAGGTGATCCTGATTAATTCACACAGTTGGGGAATATCATGTGACCACATTATATTTAGCCTGTGTTTGTGTGCAGGTGCATCAGTCTCTAGTAAATATATAACTTGTACTGGAAATAACACTGCAACTACACTTAAGTTTACGTGTCTGTAATTTCCTAATAATAGTCTAGTTTCCTGGAAAGAACTTTATAATTTGATTTTAAGGTAAATATGAATATGTCTTAAAAGAAGAGATCAGTTGATCTTAACCCAGATTGAGATTACCTTACAGTTTTTTTCCTGTTTCACTATTGTGGCAAACAGAAACTGAGTGCTTTCCTGTTGGAGCAGGTTATAAAATGATCTACAGCTGCAGCTTTGCTCTCTAACCTTTAGGAAACAATCCACTCCTCATTCACCTCCTCCTACGGGGGGCTGACAGTCGTGCTTATCCAGCAACATGCTGTCTTTTGGTTGGTCAGTTTGTCAGATTTACAGCAGGCAAAAACCCACAGGCTTGTTGTGCAGCTGAGTTATACATAACCGACACCGTCACCCTCATCTAAATCACTCACAAACTTCTTTTCAGGCGTCATCAATAGTTCTTTGGGTGAGCGAGGTTGTTGCCTCTTTGTTGTCCCACCTCTGTTATGATGACGGCTCATTGATTTTTATTTTTTTTTTTCCTGGTTTTGCTGAGTTGAGGTTCGGTTTAATGGAGCTTACCGTACAGATCATCGGCTGACTCACTCTGTAAATGGACAGTGATAACGGATGTCTCCTCGGTTTACACTTTCTTCAACATGTCCTGACCCCAACGTCACGTTTCAGCTGTGAAAATGTCAACTCATGGAGGCGGCAAAGTGCTTTTTTTCACTGACTTTCAGCACAAAGCAACATCCACTCCCTCCTTTAATACACTTACACTGTTTTACACATACCACATACTTAATACTCAACAGGGTTCAGAACTGAAACAGTCAGTTAATCAGCAGAAAATTAACAATTTTGATAATTGCTAAAAGAAAAGAAAAATCTCAGCTTCTCAGATCTCTAAGATTTTCTCGTTTTCTATGTTTTAAATTTAATATCTAGTAAAAATGTGCAATTTCAAAATGACATCTTGTCATCAATACATTCAATATTTGGTTATTTTATTGGATAAACCCAAATTAATCAAGAAATGTATGTAAAATATCCAGATCTCATTGGATTATTCTGTAGTGACACGTTACCATGTTTTTATTGCTGTTGCTTTCTTTTGCTCACAGAGTAGTTGGTCTGATTTCTCCCCTTTTCTTTCCCGTCTGCCAGCTGCTGGACATGAAGGTCTTTGTGGACACAGATTCCGACATCCGCCTGATACGGAGGCTGAAGAGGGACATTTCACAGCGCGGACGCGACATCAGCGGCATCATCAAACAATACAATAAGTTTGTGAAGCCCGCTTTCGAGCAGTACATCGAGCCCACGGTGCAGTCGGCTGACATCGTGGTGCCCAGAGGTCAGTGTGGTTTACTGAATAGAAATATACCAGTACAACCTTTTTTAATACTGCTTCGCTTTACATGCTGCTTGATACTGGTGCTACTGGCCTTCTACTGGTACAAACTGTAAGAGTAAAAGAATTATCAGTTAATTGTTGTCCTTTTGTGTCTTTAAACTCGTCTTATTTTGCAGGCGGAGAAAACTTTGTAGCGCTGGATTTGATTGTTCAGCACGTTCACAGTCAGCTGGAGAAGGTAAGGGTTCCTCGACCTGTTTCTGTTTCAGTGCGGGAGTTGGGCCATGAACAGGATTTTTACTGATTCAGCTAAACATTTGGTTTATCTTAGTTATTGCCACCTTTTTATAGATTGTCTTTGTTCAGTCTTGTGTAGAAAAAGTACTACCTCAACTGCTTGTTGTGCTGATAAGAGTATCACTTTATTTTCATCTACAGCTACAGTTGCTGCTGCTGGAAGAGTATTTCAGACCGAATAACGTCCCTAACATAGTAGTGGCTCTTAGCTTTCATTGTTCAGCTGTCCATGCTTTTTAACGTGCTCTTCTAAGTTTCCTAAAGTTAAGAAATTCTGCCGTACAGCTATTAATTTACATTAAGAAAGGGCACTAGCTGTTTGGAGAGTGCATGGAGGTGTGAGACAGTGTCGTGCTGGGCAACTTCTTAGGGTTAGTGTGTTGCTTTGCATGTGTTGCCTGTACATGCATGTAGGAATATGTAATATTAGCACACAAGACTGAGCTCTAACGTTCAACCTTATGAGGGCAAATACATTAAATACTACTACATTATATCACTGCTGCCAGTCACTATAGAGCTGGTGGAGGGAGCCGGTTAAAGGATCCGACCGTTAAAGGATCAGGGTCCAAGATTAAAGCAACAAATTACTTATTCCACCACTGCAAAGTTATTACATTAACCAAGGTTTTTAGGCTTAGACCACATGAGATAAATGCAGCCTCAGGTCAGGGCTCAGTAGTCGGTACACTTCATTAACCCTCATGTCGTCTCCGACCACTTACCTCCCTCTGCTGGTTGAACAAGCTAAGTGATGGTCAGGCTTTTCCCTGCTGTTTAGTGCAACAGTTTTCACTATCTGCTTAACTTCCCGTCTTATTAGGTTGACAATTCGGGAGGGAATCAATCACTGTGAGCTGTAGCTATCCTTCAAAATGATAAAATTACACTAAAAACAAAATAAAGGTTTAACTTCTCAGTCAATCAGAAATCTCCATCAGGAGTTCCCTGGTCTTGTTATCCCCATTTCTCCCTCTGTAGCCCCATGAACCTGGTGAGACGGAGGTCTAGGTACCTGAGATTAATGACCACATAAAGTCTGGAGAGATGTCCTCCATCTTTCCTCCCGTCACTGTACTGTCAGCCACTTAATGACCTGTACTAAACCATGATCTGTTCCACCTTCAACATATTCATTCATGGTCACTTGTAGAATACATAGAACATCTTTCACACTCAGCATCTGCAGTATGGATAAGTGGAGGCACACACAGGTTAGCGTGGTACTCTCCTGTTTTTGCACAAAGTGATGAATAAGTTTCCACAATCCAGTGAAATATCTCAACATCCACTTCCTGGACTGGCACAAACGTGTGTACAGACATTAATGTTCCCCTCATGATGAATTGTAATAACACTGGTGACCCCTTAACTTCATAATTCCTGCAAAACTAATGACATTCCCAACAGCTTATAGTACTATTTAGTAAACTGAGATGGTAAACCTGCTGTGCCTGATTACAGTCTCTCAGAGCTGCTAGCATGGCTTCTCTTCATGTCTTGTTTGATTACAATTTGCTTGAAACCATTAATTACATTTAACAAATAATACATTGGTTAACAAGATATTTTTATTTTATATAAATCTACTGAAGATTAATATGTTACTTTTGCCCTACATTCATATTTTGAGCCAAGTGAAGGGTGGGATGTCATTAATGCTGCATTTTATCAAACAAACATTTACTTTGCTTTAAATGTTTGGCTCTGGTTTCAGGGTTTTATGTTGCAGATTGGTTTATCTTATGTTTTTTTTTTTTTTTTCCTTGTGTCTCACTGTTTGCACACACAAACACACACTTGTGTGTGTCTCCTTGTGTGTGCACGACTCCCCTTGCCTGGCTGTGTAACCATTCCAGCGTGAGATCACTGTGAGGTATGACTGTTGCTTTTTTTTAATTACATCTCCTTCCTCCTATTGCTTTCTCTTCTTGCTTTTACTCTATTTTCAACCATAACTCATCTGAAAACAAAGACAAAATAAATGTTTGTTTTGTTTTACTGATTAACGGTCAATCACTCTGGTTAATCTCTGCAAATACTTTGCTTTTTTTGCTCAGAATGCCTTTATTCTGATCTGAATGTCTTGTCAGTTCAGACATTGATAATCTCTGTCTCTTCCACAGTTGATACCTCCCTCTATGATTGGTGCATCACAATGATAATACTGTGAAAACAATTTACTCATGGGTAAAATATGTCACCAATCAACAAAGAAATGTAATGTACATCAGGAAAACACTGCTCAGCATCATTGTCAGCACCGTAACATGATTTGATTCACTTCCACCGCTCTCAACTTTCCAGCAGCAGCATACAGCTGTTTTCTGATAAACCACTGAACACCACATGCCCAGCACCAAACTGCAGACAGAGTTAGCGACTAGCTGGTGAATGCATTTAGCAGAAAGAGAGCCGGATATTTCCTTCCAGAGTTGTTCGAGGCAAAAAGAGCTTACATGCAGGTGGCAACTCCAAAAATCTACTTTATAAGATGACAGTATGTCACTGTGTTTACAGCTTGTTCTGTTGCCTTTAAAGTGTCAAAAATAATCAGTTGATATTGGTTTAACATTGGATGAATCTGTCTTCAACACACACCGACCTACAGGAATGCTAATTCACTCCTGCTTTATCCTTAAGGAGAGATATTTTATACATTATGGTTAACTATTGAGGCAGCGCATCATTCGACACTCCTACCGGGCAATAAAGCTTCAGCGAGACTGGGAACAAGCACCTGAATTAAACGCTCACAGGTGCGAGTAGGCTCTGGGTGAAGTGTGCAATGTGGGACCAGCTGATGCTCTGAAAAAGACACCCAGTGGACAAAACTTCAGTTCACATAAAAAGATCAATACTGAGTTAGGTTTGTTAAATGTGCAGAAATAGAGGCTGCTCTCAGTGGTTTGACAGCTGTTCAGGGTTCCTGCGCTGTATGGAAAATATTTGATGGATGTTTGAGGAGTCATATGCACAACTTGCTCACAAGGTTCCACAGTCAAGAAGAAGATAAAACTATCCTATTATATTTTAATTTTTTTCAACTAATTTATGGTTCTTATTTATAAAAGAGACTGATAATACTAATATAATACAAATAGTACTGGTTAGTTTATTTTTGTTCTTTGTGTTTGATAGTGGAACGTCGTCCAACTTGTGAACTGACAACATAATAGCATACATAGTCAGAATATAACATGTTAACAGTTTATTTATTATAAACATAACATTTAGCTATTTGTACTCCAGATATGGTCTGGTCTATCTAGAAGTCTGGAAAAGTATTGAATTCTGAAATGGAAACTGTGTGGGACCCCCGGCTGTCTGTAAGCCTCCCGCTGTGTGCCTAACTGGGCAGTAAAGGACGACCGCTGTAAAGTGGTGTGAATAAATTGAGTCCCCTAAAATGAACCCACTTATGAGACCAATCGAACTGAGCTCGCTGTTCCTCAGCCCCGAACTAGAAAGCATTTGTTCAGTGTTACACAGCAGTGATATAGTGGAGCTGTTTCACTGCTCTAATACTGTTCTTTCTCTTCTCCTTTTATAATTTTGTCTCCTCTTGTCCTTTTCTGTGTATGTTCCTTCCTGTATTTTCTTTTCTGTCTCTTTCTCCCCCTACCCAACGTTTTATCACTTTATCTCAACAAATGAATATCTGTCACCTTCTTCAGAGGAAGCTCCGCTGGGATATGTGAGGCTCACCTCGTGCATCCTCTTTTAGTGTCGTAGTTTTGAAAAACAGTTTTTATAGTTTTGACGCACCCTGGTCCTTTTTTTTTTTTTTTTTTTTTTTTTTACTTGTTAAAATAGGTTGTACATATTTAACTGAATGAAGAGAAAAGCCAACATGCTTGTTTGCACTCTTTTGATGCCTTTCATGACCAACATTTCACGACACAAGCTGTTCTGGCAGGAAAGCATTAAACTCATTTACAGTTCGCAGCAGAAGCATGATTTATTTAGTTTTAGGGGACCGAGCATGCAGCAAACAAATTGTTTCATCGCTCTTTAACATTGTGCGCATGTGTTCAGACTTCCTTGTTTTGCATTTTGTTGGCTTAAGGTGATGGCACACACTGTGGTAGTGTTTGTTCCGAGACAACACAGAACACCAAGCTACATTTCCAGTAATATAACAACTTAACAGAGCAAACATTGACAGAGCAAACATAACCTGCATTAAATGATCCAATACAGAAACCTTTGCTGGTGAAGTACCAACACCTTGGGTTGCTTGTGTTGGACATTTTGAGTTTACCTGATTTTGTTTTATTAAACTTATTTCAACCATCTGAACAGAAACTATTCTTTTTTTTTTTTCATTCATTTTGCTTTTAGGTCATTACAGCTTGTATAACGCTATAATCTGGGGCCAGTTGCACAAAGATACTGTACAGTATGTTGGAGTCTCACTCAATGACTCAGTTTGTAGTTTCATATAGGGATGGGAATTTATAATATTCTATAGATACCATTGATTCTGCTTATCGGTCCGACTCTTTATCCATTCCTGATCAATTTTTTGTGTTGGGGAAAGAAGTCTGCTAAGCCTCCATGGCACTGATGTTATTATAACACTGGATATTTACCCTCAGTAGCTGACGTGCTACTCAGTTGGGAAGCAGTGGCATTTGTGCTTAGAAAGGAATTTAAGCCCATGTTGAGAAAGATGTTTCAGTACAGAACATTACAACTAGCAGTTCTTCCGTGAAATAGAACCACTCTTTGTGACGGTTTCCTTGCAATGCGCAACTGTCAGAAAAAAATGCCGGCATCAATAAAAGGAGTTGATAAGAAATCAGACAATTTTGAATTGCTTCTCTATTCCCATCCCTAGTTTTATAAGTAGAAATGTAAAGGGGAAACTATTTTCTGAGGCTGTATTAGTCCGATTAGCTATACAGCTCTGTGCACGAACAAACTTTTATCTTTGTGAAACCAGCCCCTGAACAGTCAAACAACATCTTTCAAACATCTGCGCTGTATAGCAAGTAGCCAGAAGCAAGCATTTGCAGCTCATTTCACAAATTGACCTGGTGGCTGGTTAATAAATCAGTTGATTTCTTCAGTTTGTATCAATCTGCAATCTTAGAAACTTGTAGAAACAGTTTCCTGTGTCATAGTTACCTGATGCTTTTCATTGCAGGTCCTCAAAAGTGGGACAACAAATTCAGTTCACGCAGTCTTTTCTCCTCTTGTGTATTTAAAACCTTTTGTAAATTAAAAATACATCAGAACAGAGCTGCTGAATCCAGGAGGTGGTTTATGTAATGAATGAACTGTCAGTATTGACTTATTAACAAATAATTCATACCAACATATCAGCGTTTGTTTGATTACATGGTAATATGTGTGTCACTCAGTCTGTGTCCTTATGTTTGATCTCCACAGATCGGCTCTGGCCTCGGCTCACCAGGGGCAGCCATTACCCAAAACCCTCAGTGTGATGGAGAGCACCCCGCAGGTCCGCGGCATGCACACCATCATCAGGTACACAAATGTCATTAGCAGCTTAGCAAGTTAAACTTTATTGTCTGAATATATTGCTGCAGAACAGAAAATTCATACTTATTTGTGTGTGCCGAAAAGAATGAAAGTCGGGATATCTTCGAATTTAACCGCTCGCTAGTGTGGGTCAAGCTCTTGCCTCGTTCTCAGCAGAGACACAATATTTTTCATCCTCTTTGCTCCTGACCTCTGTGTGTTTGTGTAGGAACAAGGAGACAAACAGAGATGAGTTTATCTTCTACTCCAAGAGATTAATGAGGCTTCTGATAGAACATGCCCTCTCCTTCCTGCCTCTCAAGGTGAGCTTTGTTTGTGCGAAAGCGTGAAGATTATTAACTGACCTGCTGCTTTTTTTATTTTAAGGCTGAATGTTGTTGGAATAAACATATGCATTATATATTCTTCTCTAAACATCCAGTTGAATGGTAGAATTGTTAAAGTGGCAGCTATTACAGGGGTTTTCATTTCCTCTTTGTCCTTTTCTCCTTCTCCAGCCGGTATCTGTGGAGACGCCTCAGGGTGGCGTCTATGACGGCAAGAGGCTGAGCGGTAAACGAGTAAGTCTGTCTTCTGTTCACCTGCTTGCTTTTTGTTTTGTTTGATATCAGTTTTGGGCTTTTATTGCCTTTTTAATTGACAGTGACGGCTGTAAAAACGGCTCAGTCTAATGCATAGATCCTCTTTAATGTTACACACTGGGAACTTTAAATTATTTCTATGGTCACCAAGCTCAGATCTATGTTCAGTGTTCAGCCTGGATGTGGCGAGGATGGTTGAGGGTGTGGTATTCAGAAGATTGTTGTGTTCACAGCAGATGTTTTCATCCAGATATGTTGTGCCTTCAATGATCATCACTTGTGAGATCCAGATAAGCTGCGTTTCCCAGTAAAAAATGACCAAAACATTAAACTCCTCGTGTGTGTTTTTGCAGATCACAGGTGTTTCTATCCTGAGAGCAGGAGAGACCATGGAGCAGGCTCTGATGGCTGTGTGTAAAGACATCAGACTGGGAAAGATCCTCATCCAGACCAACCATGACACAGGTGAACCAGAGGTATGTGAGTGTCAAACATTACAACATTACAACCTGTGTTTCTACTGTGTCTGTCGAATTTAGTGTGAAGAACTAAGTAAGTAAGTAAGTAAGTATTGTATTTGCTACACAAAGTGAAAACTTCTCAGTGGAAGTTTAATAAGCATGTTAATAGCTTTAAAAGTTCAGTAACAGGTGTCACCAGACTATAGCTAGATATTCATTACTGAAATAAATGGTATTGCCTTATCAAACAATAAGTGTGGTGTAAGGTTCTGTTTAGTGTCAGAACTTCCAACCACAAGAAAAGGAGTTGGTTGCCCAGCACAATGAAATCCAATATTTTCGTTCTCTGCTTTGTTGTGTTTACTGTCTGAATGGAGTTTCCTGCGCCTCCTCTTGCTTCTAAAGAAGTTTCTTACAGATTGTACGGTTTCATCGTTCATAACTTTTTGCTTCACATGCAAATGCTTGGTGTCTATCTTTGTCTGGCTTGTTTCAGATATTGATTCTGCCCCTCAACACTAACATTGCACACTTTTGCTTTTTACTCCTGTGGCATAAAATACTTTGACGTCTCTTTCCTTTTAGCTTCACTACCTTCGTCTGCCCAAAGACATCAGTGAAGACTACGTCATCCTGATGGACAGCACCGTGTCCACCGGAGCCGCTGCTCTCATGGCCGTCAGAGTGCTGCTAGTAGGTCTACACAACTCTACAACTGTCCTCTTAATAAAACACAGACTGATGAATGTCAGCTCGTAAATGCTCATCAGTGGTACGCGGAAAAAACGTCATATTGCCATTGAGCAGTTTGATTTCAGGTTGAGTAAACCTGATTCAAATGTAGAATTAGAACTGGGTGAATAAATAGTGAATGTATTCAGTCGACCGTAATGGAGACCAGTCCGTGACGTTTCTCCCGTCTTTAATGAGCATTCCTCTTCTCTCTCCTTATTTCTCCCTCGAAGGACCACGATGTAGCAGAGGATAAGATCTTCCTGTTGTCCCTGCTAATGGCGGAGATGGGTGTCCACTCGGTGGCCTATGCCTTCCCCAAAGTCCGCATCATCACCACCGCCGTGGACAAGGAGGTCAACGACCAGTTCCACATCATACCCGGCATCGGTGAGGAGGTTTCTTTTCCCCCTCTCACCTGAGTTGGTAGTCTGCAAGAAGCAGTTTAACACACGTTTAGTTTGTGGTCATTTATCATCTGGGAGACTAAAGCTGCACTTATATAAAGTATATAAAATCTTAAAAGAATAAACGATGTGTCTCTGGAAATCTGTGTTCCCAGAGTGTGGTGTCCTGAACAGTAAAATCCTCAATAACAGGACCTAACTGACCTTGCAGTGCTTTAAGAGCTCAGCGGCTCAGTTATGTATGTAGAGGCAGCCACTGCAAAGCTTTATGAATTATCTTAAGCCTTTATTGGCAGGCAGTGGAAGACGTGGGAATGTGATTTATGGATCCATCAGAAGATGTATTCGATTGTAAATCAACACTGAATCACACTGGGCAGCTGCTGCACAGCTCTCTGGGAGTTTAATGTGTTCAACGTGCTGCACTTCTGGACAAATCTGGCAATGCTATATGCAGCCATGGATGCTGTGGCTTACTATATAATTCAATCTAGTGACACTAGGTTGTTTTTAATAGAAGACATTTTGACACAACCGCCAGAGCTGCAGGTTTACATGTAGTTCAGAAATATGCCAGATAAAGAAAAGAAATGGGCTACATATTAATTAATTAATTAATTAATTAATTAGATAGGTATGCATGGATGGATGGATGGATGGTCAGATTTGGTGCAATTTGGACACACGCCACGTTCAGCATTGATAAACTTTGACTAAACAACCAACCCAGCGTCTCTGTGCAGGAGCCGGGCGGTACAGAGTCTCTCCTGAGTCCAGACATAGTGACTCTCCTCCATTCCCATCATCCCTGTCTGTTTCCCTGTTATGTGTTTAGGTCGTCGTCACATTTGGGTCATGACGTCTGTACATTGATGTGCTGTACAAGCCGATAATTCGAGGAAAAATGAACAACTTAACAAAATCTGGCAGGCGAAACGCTCCACTTCTAAAATACACACAACAAGAGTCAATTCATGGTCATTCTGGGATTTGAAAGAAACCGTAATAAGACTCTCAGCAGCAGCACAAACTCTCAACATGGTGGGATGGAAGAGCTCATTGAGCACAGTGGTGGTTATGAAATATTAGCTAATGCATCTGGTTTAAGGACACAAACTATAAAATTAATGACACAAATGATAAACATCATCTGGCTGTTTCTCATTCTTTCCTTCTCTCTCTTTTTTTTTGTTTTTGTTTTTGTTTCCAAAGGTAATTTTGGAGATCGTTACTTTGGCACCGATGCTCCGTCAGACTGGTGTGAGAGCGATGAAGGGATGGATTTCTGAGGAGGAAACTTAATCAGGGAGGTGGAGGGTTGTTACAGAAGCACTTGGAGCCATGGAAACGGTGAGAAGAGCCTCCGTCATCCCTCGCTGCCCCGTCGACATCCGCCTGACGGCGGGGGGGATGCTGTACATTCAGAAGCGGTGGAACGGTGTGATGTACTAATGAAGTCAGTGAGATTCAGTCCATTCCCCATTCAAGCTTACAGCAACATTTTTAAAGGGGTCAAAGTGTTTCCTGTCCTGCAGGATGTGGGATGTTTGTTTATTCCACTGCGATCTCAAAGCCGTGTGATACAACTGCTGCCAGCTTAAGCTACTTGTTGATAAAAAAAAAAAAAGCTTGATTATGATGTAGATAATGTTGCCAGTGATGTGTTTTTACTGCTGCAGCTACAAGCTGAGAAGCCTCTGATGTACTGTCAGTTTACTGGAAGAGCCTTAAAATCTTTTGAGTTTCTTACAGGATTTTGCACAGTGAGTCTTTCTCTCTCTCTTCCTTCATAAACCAGACGCTGTAAATAAATGATCTCCAGCTGGAGAAGGTTTGGCTAGAGCTATGCTCAGTTTTAATCCTTAGCAAAAAATAAAAAGGATTCACGGTGTTCAATCCATCCCCTGCTAGCTGCCTAATCAGTAATGATGTATTCATATGATTTGCACAAAGAGGTGACATAAACAGACGATAACGCCCCGTCTCTAATCACGAGTGGTGTTCAGGGGCGGACGTTTCTGGAGTTTGATGTGAGGTAGTTAGCAGTGTACTGTGATTCTTTTCTTTTTCTTTTAGCTTAAAGCTTTTTGTAAGAATGAATTAATGTATTCCAGCTTTGCTCTGCTAATGAAGCTGCAGCTGTCTGTACTGTAAAATGATATTACCTCAGGCGACTTTCACTGAAGAGAACAACAAAGATTCATACTTGAACAAGAAGACTGACTGATGATTAAGGGAAAGAGTCAGATGTTATATTTGTTTTGTTTTTCTCTATTAAGTTAAGTACGTTACCACAGCAATAACACAGAGCCCTGTCGTTCTTTGTTTAAAGTTAGATGTAGAGTTTCCACCACGCTCAGAAAAAAAGGTAATTCATTTAAGTTTAAAACAGTTTCAAGTTAAATAACCTTTTAAAAAAAAAACAACAATATTTTATTTAGCTTTAGCTGCTCATCAAGTCAACATATAGCTATCAGATGCTTTGTATTGCATTCCTTGTCACACTTTGTGTAGAAGCTGCACATATGAGCTTTGCAAAAAGGAGAAATCTGTAATAATCGTATAGACCAGGAGATGAAAAATGACCCCAGGTCTTACTGCTAATGTCACGATTTCAAACTACAGCACTTGTGTTGGCATAAAATAAGTGTATTCAGATATACATCGTCACAGGCTGAAGGTCTCGGTAGCATTTCATGTGTGAACTGCTTAATATTTTTGGTTTTTCTGGGTTCAATACAGAAACTGACACTTGCTGGTTGTGGTAACGTCGCTCGCTGCTGCTTGTGGCCAAATTTTCTTAAAATGTTTTTATTTATTTATTACAGTTACATCACAGCCATTCATCCAAGTTACATCACACCAGTATGCTGTTGTTTTTAATGCTGTCACACTAAAAGGTCCTGCAGACAAACTCACTGTCCACATCTGTTGAACAATAGTCCTCGTTCAGAGACATTTTTAAATGTTCGCCATAACAAAACACTCGTTCAATAATTCTGTTGTGTCCAGCCAACGTTATGCAAGTTAAACATTTTCTGCACATTACAACAATGACTTGAAAAGAAAGTCACCCGCTGTGACTTTATCTCTACTGTATGACGCAACAATTCTATGTGGGAGCAGGTTACCTTTATGTTAAATGATTAACATGCAGACGTTTTACGAAACAATGTTGCTAATATATTAAAATTTAAGAAGAAAAACTGCAATTTGTGACCTTTTTGTGTAACTAATAACACTACTAATGGCTCAGTTCTGTTTACTTGGTGCCTTTTTTTTTTTTTTTTTAAGCCACCGGTACACCTGAATGGAACCCGTCCATGATTAATGTTACTGAGTTACACCTGTGTTTGTGAGGAAGATCTGTTTGTTTCCAGTTGTTGTTGTTGTTGTTTTTGTAAGTTCCACTTCACTTGTACAAAATAAAAATATTAATTGAACATAACTTGTAAATGTAGTTTTTATCCACTTTGTTTTGTTTTGGGGCCGCAGGGGGGCAGCAGAGCTCACAGGTTATTGTTTACAGCGGAAGTGACATAATACAGTTCTTATGTTGCCTTCCAGGACTGTAGGAAATTGGAAGTTTGCCATTTAGGAGCCAACTAAGAATGAAAAGGACAAGGTAAGTGCAACTTTTTAAACTTTACAAGAAAAAGTACTGCATATAGAGTAGCTTAATGCACTTAAAACCTTTTGTAATTATGTATTTTATCAATGGACAACATTTTTATTTTAGGGACAGTTTGCCTTAAAGCTATATTGACTGTCAATTAAAGTTATGTTTTTATTTTCTTAGTGCTTTCCGGCTGGTAGAGGCAGTGTGCGCCCAGCTCTGCCGCATGTACCCCTCGGGCACCTGTGTGAGAGGGACCAGGGTCGAGCCCCAGACTGATTTCGCACTCGTGTGCGTGTGCGTGTGTGTGTGTGTGTGTGTGTGTGTGTGTGTGTGTGTGTGTGTGTGTGTGTGTGTGTGTGCTTTCCCCTCCACAAGGACCAGGACTTTGCCACAGTATGGAGGCTTTCTACAAACACCGGTCCACCCACCCTGCCACAACTCTTCTACAGCACAGTGACACTATGCTTGAAGAAAAAAAATCTCTGTCCCATTCACACCTGTATAACACACTGTCATGCCTCTGTACTGTTCTGATTCTATGCACTGACAAGTTATATAGGCCTTTTGGACATGTGGGTATGTTCATTAATGTGATCACTGTTACATCAGTTACGTCCAGTGGCTGCGTCGCAAGATACCGGACTGCCGTTTGCGCTGGTTCATCTGCTGTTGCCACTGGCTCTGTTGCCACCACGTGGTTTAAAAAAAAAAAAAGCCTTGTAAGCCACAGGTACTTCACATTGTACTGCTGCTGTGTTCGATGTGTTCTGCATCTATACAATAACAACAACAACAGAAAGATATTTAATTGATATTTATTTCACTGAAGAAAAAGGGGAAACAAATCATACACAGCATGTAACTTTTATTTATACACAAATAAATAATTTATTTACCCCATGTATGTGTATATGTATATACATGTATGTATGTGTGTGTGTGTATATGTGTATATATGTGTGTGTATGTATGTATGTATGTATGTGTGTGTGTGTGTGTATATATATATATACCATCGACTAACCTTAGATGTGGCACTTTACACCTTTTAAATAAAACATGTAAAGCTTTATTATTTGATGTTTTCTGTGACCAGATCTTTATCTCAGTGAGACTGCCTGATAAAATGAAGATTACTATGTTATTAATATGTTATCATATTAGGTCATGTCCTTAGTTACAGTGGATGGAAACTTGCCCCCACAGAAAGAGTTGTTTTCACCTTTGAAATGAGCCACAACTTAACTGTGGGCACAGCCCGCTCCATGAACACATAGTCCTACACCTCTGCTGATAAGGTTTTATACCATCTATTAATGTTTGACTTGTAGTTCCGGGTTTTTGGTTCCAAGGTTCAGAGCTGCTCTGTGATCATATTTCCTTAAAGAACACTTCAGTTTGAAGATGAATACAGAGAGTTGAGACTGTATGTGAATCAACAGACCTTTGAAAAGCTCCTGCTGTCAGTTACATGTTTGTTCTTTCTCTGGTTGGTTTCCTGGTTGAAGCTGCTCATTAATTCCACCTTCACTCATCAGCTCCATGCAGATTATTTCCACCATCAGAAGGTAACGTAACCAACAGTTTCCATCATGTTTGTGCAGTGAAACTGATCTGATAACAGTAGAGATGGTGCTAGTAGTGATGTGCTGTGGTGCTTTGTTGACTGCAGACTGTAGAGTTTAGTTGAGATGACTGCAGTTGATTCATTGTGGTGCTGTTGTAGTTCTGTGTCTAATATTTGATCTCCTTCATTTACAAACGTATACAGAGGAGCAAACAATATTAGAAATAGCTGAAGAATAAAATGTGATCCAGTACATCAACACCATGAAACTAAAGAATGAGCACAGATTGAATCAACTGCTGCCAGTTTCACAAAGGTTGGATTTATTACAGGACTGTTGTATTCTGTCAGCCACAGCATTAGAGACAATAACATGAATGTTCGCTGTGTACCATCCATTGTTCCACTCATGCTCTGCTAGCTCTATGTATAAATCTTATTACAACATCAGCATCTTTATATGATATTCATATAAAATAAATCTTACATTATATAAACTACACAGTCAATCACTGTCATCAATCACAGTACATTCTGTTTGTGGATAATGGAGTATCTTTATCACAGTGAGTCTGCAGATATTACTTGGACACTGTCATTGTCTCAGTTATTAATATTTTATTGTAGTTTGTGTGTTAATGTGAAACATGGACGTTCAACTAGTTCAACCATAAAATAATAGAAACTAACATCCTTATCATACAACACTGATTAAAGAGCAAAGGTCAAACTGAGATAAAGTTAACAGGATAACATTAAATATGACTGCAGTGATTATAAAAGAAAAAAGCAGATATATTTGATCTGATTTAAACCCTTTTTCCTAAAATTATGTTTTATAAAAGTCTGTCGGCTCAAACAAACAATGAACATAATCAGGACAATTAAGTTCCCTTAAACATATTCAACAAAATAGATGCGAAGGTTAAAAAATATTTTCTGGTTCAACAACTTCTGTCTACTCTCATATTTATAGAATGATTGAATCAGTATCTTCATGTACATTCAGTCAGTTATTATTATAAATACACGTCATGACTTCACTTTTATTAATGAATGAAGTCAAACTGAGTCCAATCTCAGACAGTCCCTCAACATGACTCTTACATGAGTTTGTATTTTATCAACTATCTTATGAACCTGTTGTTTTACTCCACAACTACTTGAAGGCAGAAAGACTCTGACTGGATGTGGATCTAAATTCACCTGTAGTGTATTTTCTTTATTCTAGCACACAGCAGACTAAAAGTATGTCTTGCTCCATATGAGCTCTTTAGTGGACAACAAATACAACTGGATAGAAGTAGTTTCTGAAACCTTTATCCACAGTGGAAATCTGTAAAATAATGTCTTACTTTGGTTCCATCTGGTGGTACAATGAAGAATGA